CGGGCGCGCCTCGGGCTTTCCCGGAACGCGGCCGGGCTGAGCTGGGCTGGGCTGGAAGGAGTCGCCTGCCGGCGCACACGTGGAGTTCCCCGGCCCGCGCTGCACCGCTCGGTGTGTGGGGGGGAGGGTTTGTGTGTTCCGAGCTGCCCCCGCACAGCTCCTCAGGAACCCGGGCTCGGCCTCCTGAGGTGCCGTCCTGTCCCCAGTCTCTGCCCGACCTGTGTCCCGCACGCAGTCACAGGCCGGTCTGGGGTGGAAGGGATCTTACAGCTCTTGTCCTTCCATCCCCCTGCCATGGCAGGGACACCTCCCGCTACACCAGGCTGCCCAGTGCCCCTTCCAGCCAGGCCTTGAAATATTTATTTAAAATTAAAATCATAAGTCTCATCCCTAGGTCATCAGTTTAATTGCGTTACTGTTTAACAGATTAAACCCCCTTTTTTTTAGACATAACATTTAAATCATAAAAGCATGAAATCAACTGCTCTTCAGCTTTCCAGACTGTAAACACTACTGCATATAGACCACAAGGGACCAGTAGTAAAAGCCACACCATACTGTATATGTCTCTTTTTACTGCATTAGCTTTGCCATTATCAGATGTTAAAATGGAATCACAAGCAAGATTAGTAGATTAACAAACAACAGGCTGAAAGCCAAGAGCACCATCAGCGTTTCTGTAGATATAAGAAAGCTAACAACTTTCTACGGGGGTTTTTTTGTTATTAATTTTGTAGTATTTTTAAATAGTAGTAGATGGAGAAGCATATGGGGTCTGGGAACACTCCTAAATAAAAGGATTTTGTCTCCAGCCATGGTGGGAAAAAAGTGGGGCTGATGTAAAGAGATCTTCCCTGTGATCATCAAAGATTAGAAATTGGGGAAAGTTTGTAGGAACCTTGATATACTTAGCACTTGTCAGTACTTTTGCTAAATCTTTGTAGGATTTAGGGTCCTGGTAATTGTTACAGAGACTTGTGTCTACAAGTGCTGGTCCTAGGTCTGAGGTTTTTGTGTGTATTTTGTAAAGTAAAAGTTGTTGGAAATCTTCCCTTTCTAGGAATATAATCTAGTGTGTTAACAGAACAAAACCAGAAAAAGGTTAGTAGATCTTAAATGAGGACATGGTGCTAAGGAATTTCTAAGAAAATTATATTTTCACATCAGTTGCTCTTAGGAAAGACCATTGCCATTGCATCCTGAGTAAATACTGCACGTGTGGTTTACTCAAATGACCCAGGTCATTTTTATCCATCTCTGTTTGCTTTAGAGAGTATTTTTTTTCTTTTTTTCTCTAAATAGATCTGATTTTAAATAATATTACTGATCAAAAAATAACAAACATGCAGACAAAAAGGCTCAGGCATGTTAGATATTTGGCTGTTCCTTGGAAAGGTGTTTCAAACTGTTTTTTGTTTTCAGGAAAAATGGAGACTTCTTCCAGCATTTCTGAAGGTTAGTGCTGCATGCTCATTTCATGGTGTGAATACTTCATCTTCTTTCTCTACATTCCCTTCTCTAGCTTTTACTGTTTCCCAGAATACCCGTCCTCACTTTCCTGTGGATTTTGCCTTTCTTTTTAATTCCTTTCAGTTATAAATAGACTCATTCCATAGATTGTTTTCTTGATTATTCTTGTTATTTCTTGATTCAGATTATTTTGTGGAGACATCCTCCTAGAGGTTTGCATTTTGGTGTGGCTGTTCTCAATCCATACTGTATATATGTAATGTTTTCAGATGATTTTCCTGTTTTACTGGCTCTCAGAGACCCTATCCATGCTCTTTATATGACAGCTCCAGTGTAAGCTTGGAAATGTGTAGAACCAGAGAGTGAGCATCCAGCCGCTCACTCATGCAAAATGCAAAACTCATTTGCAGGAGTTTGTCAGATGAAAGAATTTAGCACAGTTATCCAAAACGAGTTATGAATGCTTATATCTTAATTTCTACCTTGTGTGATTAACATTATTGAAGCTGATTTTACTTGCTGTGTCCATGTATTTTTCAGGTGAAAGGACTGGTGAAGCAGCACATAGACTCATTCAACTATTTCATCAACGTTGAGGTAGGTTCTCCTGGTGGGTGGGGAGTGGCTCTTAGTACTCAGGAAAGGCTGTGGTTCCATTTTGTTCTTTTTCTTCTCCAGATAAAGAAAATCATGAAGGCCAATGAAAAAGTGACAAGTGATGCCGACCCAATGTGGTACCTGAAGTAAGCATGAGATGATTTCCATATTGGTATAGCAGCATGAGTGCTATCTCATGTGTTTGTTATCAGCTAGAAATGTTTATAAGCCCTTGTGCAGGTCTAAATCAAGAGGATGTTTTCCATGACTTATCTCTTACTTTATGCAATAAAAGATGAGAAGATTAAAAGGTTTACTGCACATGCAGGCTAAATTTTAACTAATTTGACTACAATTCAAATTAGTTACTTTGGGCAGAATCATTGCTTATTATTAACCAACTTGTGTTCATCAAAGTAATTTCATTTTTCATTGTGTGTAAAATTTTGCTTCCTTCAGGTTGCATGAAAAATATTTACCTCATTGCTTATTTTGAAACTGTATTACAGGTACCTCAATATCTATGTGGGTACTCCAGATGTGGAAGAAAGCTTCAATGTGACACGACCTGTATCACCTCATGAGGTATTAATGTTTGCATCTGTTCTGTTTGGGTTTTTTTTATCTTGGGAATATCTTGGATAATAGCTGCATGTAATTTTGAGTACATGCATGCTACATTAGGTAGTGCAATGCATTCCACCATCTCTGTAAAAAGAAGCCTCAGAGCTTTAAGCATCATGGAATAAAGCTTTTTAATTTTATTTTAATTTTTTTTTTTCTCTATTCAGTGTTTTTTGCTAGCTGAATTTGAGTAGGTTTCCTTGAAAGTAGTGAAAGTTCTTCTCTTGCTTAATCTTGTGGCTCTCCTTATGACAGAGCTGAACCTCATGCTATAATGCATAAAGTTCTTTGATATTTTTATTAACTTCTTTTTAATATTAGCTTTGCTACTGTCTGTGCCATACGTCATTTCAGTCTCTGTTTCCCTTCCAGTCTTTGGGAACTTGTATTTGATTTTTTGCTCATATTTTTAAAGTCTGATTCAGAAAGCAAACATGGAAACTTTAAGCAGAAACAGGTAGAAACTGTTAAAAATAGAAGAAGCTGCAGAAGAACATCAGCCTTCTGAAGAGTATATTTAATTTCATGGTAGTGCTGTAGGCATGTAGGTTAACAGATGGACTGTGTACTTCTGGAATAAAGATGCATGTTGGAGGACATGCTGCTGTGACTGAAATCAGAAGGTCTCTTGGTTCTGACCAACAGGATGTAAGGTGGCTTCCATATGTATGAGAAAGCCATAAGCTAACATAAGCTTTGAACTTTATAGGATTGCTTTCATGTATCTAGAGCCATTCAGTTCTCTTCAAAGTGCTCAAGAACACAGTATTTCTCTCCTGCTACCCTACTTTGAGATTTATACCACTGCAACTGAGGGAGTGACCTCTTTTTGCTCTCTGAAGGGGGAACTGAACTTGGAACTTGTAGTCATTTACCTACATGCAGCCTGTTGTCAACCTCATAACTCAGTTCATGTATCAGATGCTTTTTTCCTTGCTTATCCATTTGATACTTGAAATATCTGTTTTATCATCTAATCAAGACAATAATGAAATGCATTATGTGCTTTGGAAAAATTCTGTAAGAATCAGCTGTCCAGTGACTGCCACTTGGACAGTAGCCACTTTCTGTCTTGAGTGACCTGACTCAAATCTCATTTGGTTGGATGGAAAGCTTTGAAATAAAGCAAATAACTCAGCCAGATGTAATACATGATAGTTGCTGCACCTCACAAATGTGTAGAAAATACTCAATCAGTAAATGTGAACATGCACAAAATGCAACAGGAAGCATTTCTTTCATATGAATGAAATAATGAAATTGCATGCAAAAAATTGTTTATGGCCAACAACTCATGCTCAAGAATTCAGGTATTAATATGCTTGCTTACTGTATAATTCAAGTGACTATACATGCAGAAGGTGGCAAAATAAATGCTTATAGAGCATACTGACCTTGAGTTTAGAATAAGATACTCTCGTATCTCGAGTATATTCTCATTGATGCTTAATGTTAGTGCAATATTTCTCTTTATTTTCAGTGTGTTGTACACACATGGAGGCCACAGTTATTCCCTTAAATGGGATGGTGCTCAGGTCAAGCCTGGGTGCCTTGAGGAAAAAAAAATGGTTGGATAGTTAGGAGTCAGCTGTTATATTTCTCTGTTGAAGGCTTATAAAATTCCTTCCCAAAATAAAATAATTAGATTTTTAAGAGGGTCTGAGTGTATATCAAGTCATGCCTTTCTTTTACTTTCAGGTGTTTATAGTAAGTTACCTCAAGGATAAAAAATTACACATGCTGGAATATTACACTGTAATTTGTATTTTTTATCTGTGTCTTGTGTTAAAAAAAGCACACACAGAGAATCCCAAGTCATTTTTTTCCCCAAGTAGTATTAAAGAGGCCATCTAACTCTATTTTTCCTCCAGTCCTTACGGGAGTTTATTGAACTCATGTGGAAGATGATATTCATAGAGAAGAATTTAAAGTAATTAGAATATGGAAATATTCTCAGTTTCTTTTAAATTGGATATAGTTTCTGGGAGCAGAATGGCACCTAGTTTCTTGCAAAGCATGGCTTGAAAGCTGCTGGTGTGTATCAGTATATTATTAATAGAGAATAGGTTTACTTTGTAGTGTGGAGAGGAGAAGCATCCAGTTTGTGATGATTCTTGAGGCATATTTTTCCATAGAGCTGCATCTTCAATACACAGTATAATCTTAATTGCCTTTCATTTGCACATAAGCAATACACTGAAAGACTGCAGAATCATAGATGTGCAAGTCTGACTATTGTTAAAGCTGTAATCCTGGAGCTGAAAGGTAAAAGCATGCACAGTGAGGTCACGAATGACCTGCTGTGAGTTGCACTGTTGTGTTCAGCAGATGCAGTAAGGCCTGTCTTGCATGAAAAGGCACAGTACCTCGAGGGCTGGCAACATCTTAGAGTGAGGCTGGGGAGAGCAGACCAGAAAGATTGGATTAGAAATATTTGAACCTTGAGATATCTAATGTCCTAGATATGTTTATTTTGCTTCTCTTGGTCTCCAAGCAATTTGCAGAAAAATTCAGGGAATCTTTGCAAGAAGTGATTCTCTAGTGAGCCTTCTGTAAGTCATCTTTAGAAATGGTACCATACATGATGTTTGCTCATTCTGCTGATAAGGTAGCATGGTGTCTCTCTCAATCTTGTTCCTTTCCATGCTGTCAGACTTCATATGGCAGCACAGGTCTTCAGCTGTTGAGAGTCTGCATATAGAAATGTCCCTGAACTGAGCACTGCTCAGACACTGTGGTCTTTATGCCAGCTCTGCTGATTAGAACTGTTTGTTTAATTAGAGATTTTAGAAGCTAAGCTCTGCAGTGCTGTCTCCTGAAGGCACAGATCTGCTGTCTGCTTTTGAAAATCAGAGCAATTGTGTTTGTATTTTCTTGGATTTTATTTTAAGCAGGAGAGTCCGTCCAGCATACTTCACTATCATGAAGATGTTGCTGAAGCTTTGCTTTGCTTGATTTCTTTGTGAGGATTTACAGGACAGGGCAAATACAGGCTGTTTTAAGAGAGATTCTTCAGCTTGAAGTCAACACCTGACCGTGTGCCTGTTGTCCTTTCAGTGCCGCCTGAGGGACATGACCTATTCTGCGCCGATTACCGTGGATATTGAATATACACGGGGTAGCCAGAGGATCATCCGCAATGCGTTACCCATTGGCAGGTGAGACACCACGTGCTGAGCTGCTGCTGTCATTTTTCCCTTGCTGCCATGTTGGGAAGAGTTTTTACTGCAAAACACATGTAGGCCAACCTTGCTTCCTTGTTAAAAGAAACAATGAGCAGGCAAATCTTCATGAACAGCTGTACATGATTTTTAGGGTCTAAGATATTGTTTTGCAAAAGCTTCTGATAATGTCTCCTTCCAGAGAAGGATAGATATAAGGATGAATGTTGTCTCAGATCCTGTTGGTATAAAACCACAGAAGTAAATGCATGCATGGAGCTGCAAGTTGCACTATTGTAAAATTAAATCAGGCATATTTGCTTTGTAGCCAAATTACTCAGTCTTTCATATATTGTATGTAGAGTAGCATCTGTGGAAAGTGCATGGTAAGACCAGTAAAGCAAGGATTAGTTCTGCTGCACAAGTTAAGGTTTCATTTAAAATTACTTAAATTACATTATTAGACTAGCTTTAGAAGCATACATGCAGAAAGTTTTTTGCTGTTAAAAACTGTTCATATCCAGTTATGGTTTCCATGGGAAATAATTTTCCTCATCTGTCCATATTATATATGTTTCCTTTGGCCAGTGCTCTTGTTTGACATGCAGTTTGAACTGGGACAGGTGTTTCACTGGAGTTTGCAGTAATAGCATTGAAGCATTCCATTTTACCTTATGCCAACTGCTTCCTGTTTCTGATATAAACAGCCAATGCATTAAGCTTATATTGTGTGTGATAAAAGATTTTGCTTGTCATATGAAGCTTCTTGTCTCTAGAAAGCACTTTTTCAGTGAAATATAGTGACAAGATAGCTTTTTTTAATCTGCAGAAGTACAGAATGTGAGTTCATCAGTTTTCTTTTAAGATACATGAATATGAGAACAGCAGAGAAATAAAAATAATTTATAATATTTGAATACAGGAAATATAGTCTAATCTTGTTTTTTATTGAAGTGAAATTGAATGAATAGTCTTAGAGGTTGAAAATATTTGTTTAATAGAACTCATAAATAATTATTGTCAATGTGTGTTTTAGAAAACACTTGGAACACAGTTCTTACAAAGGTTGTCCACCAAGGAGTGAAATTCTATAAGCTGGATCAAAAATCAGCTTTTTGGTGGAAGAGGCTAAAGGACATGGAGGTCTTTTGGTAGATGTAGTGATCAACTTTTTGTTTTTTGTGAAATACAGCTTTCTCTTTGGAAGCAAACTGTGCTCTATTTCCAAAGTTTTAATGAGAAATCTGTGAGTGAAAAGGTATGTTATGAAGCTGACTATAAAAGTACACTTTTCAATAATAACTGCAAAATCATTGCTGGTTTGTTGTTGAATGTTCAAATTGTAGAAGTGACCATTCCATGATTTATCAAGGGGTGACAGAATAATTCAGGTTGAAAGAGTACAGTCTCCTGCTCAGCCTCTTGCACAGCCTCCTGCTCAAAATGGGTCAGCTCAGTGCTTCATCCTCTCAGGTCCTGAAGACCTCTGTGAGTGGAGACTGCCCAGCTTCCCTGTGTAGCTCTTACACTGTTTGACTGTCCTCATGGTGAAGAAGTTTTGCCTTATATGCAGTCTGTGAATCTTTAGTTTCTCTTTTATTTAATTAAGCACTGAATTTGTTTTTAATTTCTTGGAATATCTTTCCACCACATGTTGCTTCACAAAATGTTTGCTTGCAGGCTTCTCTGCTAGGACACCAGGGAAATCAGAGCTACTACTGGGGCAGCTTCTTGCTTAGGTTATGAATTAGAGGCACTATCTCTCTGCAGCCAGAAGGTGTCATTCCTGTGTGGGAAATGAGATAGGAACTAACTTTATCTAAGGAAAACTGGTAGCAGTGGATCTGCAGTGACATGTCCTTCTCTGCAGACTGTTTTGGGGACCAGGAGTCTCTGCACTAATCACTGGCCTTGGTGACCCTGCTTGTCACGATACCTTATAGCTGCATAACAATTTAATAGGAAGTTTTTGGGTTCTGCTTGTAGGTGTCCAGTTTCAGGTCTCTTTTCAGTTACATGTTCAATGAAATAAGGTGGACTTAAATGAAAACTTGTTGGTTACAGCATGTATGAGTTCTGATTACCTTAAATGCGTATCTCCAGTTTGTTCAGCATGGTTTTTGTTCTGAATTTGACTATTCATATTTTTCTCTCTGAGTCTGAAGTAAAATTGTAACTGGTTTTCTTGCAGAATGCCTATAATGCTGCGTAGCTCCAACTGTGTACTTACTGGGAAAACTCCTGCAGAATTTGCCAAACTAAATGAGTGTCCATTAGATCCAGGTACATTTTCACTCATGTTCTTTTATTTTCCCCTATCTGTGCTTTGAGTTTTAAGTCTTTTTCAGCAAAGAAATACCCCTTCGGTGTGTTTCCTGCCACCATTAAGTCTTCCTGGAAACTTCTCAAGTGTGTGTTTGCACCTAAAAGAAATTGTCAGGCTTTTGGTTGAGAACATGAATAGCTGGTATTTGAAGACTAAGTTTTCAACCACAAAAAACAGCACACAAAAATTTTGAATATTTTATTTTGAATTTTGTATATAGTGTTATACAGTGATGTGTTGTATGAGAAAAAAACCTGAGTTCATTCATTGAAAATTAAATAGATTAGGGAAGAGTGGAGCATGATGTCTTCCAGGGCAGGAACTCTCATTTGTCATTGCCCTTTGTAAAGCAAGAATAAAGTGTTAAAATTACATGGTATTATTTGATATGTAGGGAGGAGTTGGAAGGTTATAACAAGCAACTTCTTTGGTTTTTGTCTGTCAGGTTTGTTCATTACTCTTTTAAGGGAGAATTTACTCTCCCATTGTGTACTTATGATTTACTTTCTAATTAGTTATATTCAAAGGCATATTGGATGAGACAAATAAGGTGCAAGGGCACTGACATGCAAAATATTTTTTTCTGTTAACTAGGTGGCTATTTCATCGTTAAAGGTGTAGAGAAAGTTATTCTTATTCAAGAGCAGTTATCCAAAAACAGAATTATTGTGGAAGCTGACAGAAAAGGCACAGTTGGCGCTTCTGTTACCAGGTATAGTAAATTCCTAGCATTACATAAAGGAAATAAACCTAAAGCTTTAGAACTTCATTGTTGTGGTTGAAATGGCTATGGAGGTTTCTTCCTATTATAGTTTAACCAGAAAAAGCTGTAGACATTCAGTGCTCCTGTTTTGCTACTGTCATTTTGTATGCTAAAACTTCAGTCCCTAAACAGTGTAGTATTCCCACAAAAAATAGTGTGAGTGGCTCATATATTTCAGGATTCATCCCAGATTAGGAAAAGCAAGCTCTAATGTAACAAAATGCACTTCCTAATTGATGGTGTTTGGTCTCAATTTGCAGCAAGTAACATGAAATTACTGCAGTGGAAATTGGATGTAACCTTTTTTCTGCCTCTCTATATAAAATTGGCATAAAACCTTTTAAAGGTAAAGCCAGCTGAGGAGGAAAGAAATATTTTTGTGCAATGCAAATTACTGAAAATGGTAAAGTAGTCTAAATTTGGCCTTTCCTCCTTGATCAAGTTTTGTTTCAATTTTGTTCAGCTTTTGGTTGGTTGTTTTTTATTTTTTTAAGCTGCATGCTGGTCTGCTTTATGGTGCTTGTGACTGTTCAGTGTGAGGGCTGTTTTTTCTTCTCCAGAGGTCTCTCACAGCTACTCTGTGGTCTCTCAGTAAGTCTGGATGAGGTTAATGTACCACCAGGTACTGTTATGTTGTTACCACTGTTGCTGCAGTACTGGTTCACAGTTTGACCTTGCTGGTTCTATCAAAATTGATTATCAAAGCATGTAAAGATGATTTAAAAAAATACCGACTTTTATTTGCTTAAGTCAAATATTCCAAGTAGTCCCCAGCACAGGTGATAATTCCCTATTACCTTGAAGTTACAGGCTGATCCCTGATTGGTTTGATGGAATTTTTAAAAGAGGAGAAAATGGGATTAATTCAGCTGAAAGATTGTTCAAGCTTGCTAAATTCTATATAAAAGATTCTAGTGTCAGTGTAAACACTGTTGGACATGATATTCTTTTATTTTAACTTCAGTTCCACTCATGAGAAGAAGAGCAGAACAAATATGGTTGTGAAACAAGGAAGATTTTACCTGAGGCACAACACTTTGTCAGAAGATATTCCCATTGCTATTATATTTAAGGTAATACAGCTGTTTGTTTAGGAAAAAAAAAAAAGAGAAAAATGCTGTGCTGTAGCTCCAAATGAAGATCGACAGCAGCTCTCAAGTTCATATATAGAGAAGGACTTGGCAGGGCTCAGAAACTGTGAGCTTTTTTCCCCTGGGAAGTCATCTTTATTGTACAGCAAAAAGGAGAGTAAGTGCTGTATTTTTCTGCAAGGAGAGCATTGCTGGGCCGAGAGAAGTACCTGCCACTCCCTTACTTTGCCCTCTGAGGTTGCTACAGGTCAGAGGGATTTTGCTTTGTTACGAGCTGTGATACAAGTTGTGTTAAGGGTCATTGTTTCTGGTTTTCTGTCTGTGGAGTCAAATGCATGGACTAAAGCCAGGAAGGGTGGTGGGTGGACATGCTCTGTCCAGCTGCTGGAAACGACTGTAGGGCATGGCCAAGCCTTAGGCTGGGACCTGTCCTGCCAACAGCTGGGAGTTCCTTCCTGTCCTGTAATGCTGCTGCCTGTGAATTTACAGACTGTTAGGTTGTGTGTGCAGGAGGAAGTTGGGCTGCATTCTTGGAGGCACAAAAAAACCCTCTGACTGGATAGATCTAGGCAAAACTCTCTTTTTGTGTTCTCTGTAGTAGGTTACAGCACGGAAGGTGTGGAGAGGTGGTCACAGGAAATGATGTGCCAGGAGAGGGCAGCACGAGGTTGCAGCATCCGAGCTGGTCGTGCCTGAAGTGCAAATGTTATTTATGGGTTTTTCTGTATTACCACAGTGCTTGGTGTGCCTTGGTACTAGAAAATAGTTTAATCATTGGGTTTAGACTTGAGAGGTAAATAAATGGATATTAGCTCTGATTAAGAAAATCTCTTCAAATAAGGGAGGAGATCATCTGTTTTTAGTGACCAGGGTTAACAGAGTTTGAGAAGGTATTTATGGACAGAAATGCACATAAAAGTGCCAGGATTAAGTTCACAGTTCTTGTGTTGCAGGAAAGTGTTAAAATGGCTCTTAATCCATTAGCTCTAGTACCAAACTGCTGGATTCCACCTTACCTTATAGACTTTTATTATGTTTTGTCACCCTGTGCTGGTACAGGTAAATACCTGCTCATGTAAACTAACTGCTCTGGGTTGTTGTCTGAGGAGATGGTTGTTGGCTTGTTGTTCTAAGTAAAGTTGTACTGACTATTTTATTACCTTCTGACAATGTTTGCTATAATTATATCCCTTGTCATAAATATCTTTTATATTTTAGATAATATTTCTTAGTTTTTCATTTATTAATTGAATAAGGGGTTGCAGCTGTTAGAAGTTCTAGGCTGTAGTGCTTTTCAATTATTCATTTTGATTTAATACGGTAGAAAATTAGCTACACCCACTTTAACTATTGTGAATGTTCCATTTTAGCAGTTCTCATGAGTGGTCATTTCCTTTAATGACATGAAATTCAGGGATCTTCTGCCTGCTTCTGACGAGTCTCCAGCTGGAAATGAAAGCAGTCACCAGTCTGCTATTTTCCTTTCTTGGGCATTGCTCTAATGTGTTATTGCTTTGTTCTGTTTAACTGCTAGGAGCAAGATTACAGATGCAATAGCCCTCAGCCTGGACAATCCCAAACTCAGGAATGCCTGTCTAACTTCAGCTCTCTCACACAGTAGTGTTATACACAGGAGATTTGTTGGAAAAGCAAGGAGAATAATTCCTTTCTGCCAACACTCAGGCCTTGGGCATGAAGTATGTGTCTTCCTTGTTACTAGCAGTTGTTCTGCTTGTGATGTAGAGATCCACATCTGCAAGGGACTAAATAAAGCTTTATAGACAATCTAAGGTCTGAAGTTTTGACTGCCTTTGAATCCTTCACTTGTACTGAAACAGCCTCATGTATAATTTCTAATTAAAAACTAAAATGAGAAAGCAATGGCAAAAATCCATTGCTCTGCATTTCCTCTCAGACCAGCATCCAGGCTACAACCAAGTTCCAAAGACCTCTGTGTTTTGACTAAGAAACAAAAAAAATAGGAATTGGTAGAAGGCTGCCATTCAGTGCATTGGCCAGCTAGAGGGGGCAGTTTGTCAGGGACTATATGAGAGATGGGGAGCAATTTTGGATTGTCTTTCTAGTCTCAATAGCTTTAATTGACCTGGCATTTTGTATGTGACTTAAGAAATAGATCAGGTGCAGAAAATCATTGTAACGTTATAGAAGAGAAAGCAAGTATTGCAGATCTATCATCTAATGTATAAAGCTAATGCATCTGTAAGGTGGAGGTGTGCTAATAAATCCTCTAGACATCTTTGTCAAAAGCAAGGACTGTGAAATTGAGAACATTACGAACACCACCAACTGGCAGAGCTGAGGTCACCCTTATGTTTCAGGTATAAAGTCATGGACGGAGCTGCATGCTGGGGGAAGACCTGAACACAGAGTTCTCCATCCTTGCTTTTGGTGAGGAGTGAAGCCCAGGCACCTGGGCTTTGGGGAGCCATGGGAATAAAGTAGATCTAAAGGTTAACCAGATCTAACCTTGATCTGGTTAGATTAGATAGGGACTGGATTGTGTGGGGTCACCCTAAAGGAAGCATCTGCATTTCGTTCATCCTTGTCCATAACTGCAAGCCAGAATCACCTTGTCCTGTTGCTTTGTTTTTTCTGTCATCCAGACCTGTAGAGATCTTTGGGATAAGCGTGCTTTGATGTTTTACAGACAGTTGTGCCAAACACATGCAAGTTGTGGTTTTGTGAAATTTAGCACATTGACCACAACTAACTGCAATTTGATAGGCTACAAAAGGCATGTGCCTGGCACTATTCTAGGGCAGACTTGGGCTATCTGCTCTTTAGATGTGGGGGAGCTTGAGCTTTGTAGCTGTGCTAGCTTAAATAGTTTTTCCTGACCTTTTTTCTTATGAGTGACGGAGCATTTGTGCCGTCCCTATATAGGGAAATGCAACTTGACTTTTGAAGAAGTGACATAAAACACAATCTTGCCCCTTAAGTATGTGTTTGTTGCAGTTTTTAAAGGGCTGTTAACTGCCTTGTAATGGGAAACAAACACAGCTAATTTTCTTCCTGCTTACTTTGTAACACTTCTTCATTAGTTAATAGACATATGCAGCCGCAGGGGTGTTTATAGTGTCTTGAGCTGCCTTGCAGCCCCAAGAGACCTTTGTTTTAGCTGTGTCGGCTGTGGGCATCTCATAGGGCTGTGTGAACTGTGCACAGTGCTCTTGAATATGTCAGGCTAGGAGATGCACATGCTTTACCTGGGGGGCTTGGACAGTTAGAGGTAGCAGTGAGCATTGGAGGAGGTGTGGGATATTGGTGTGGTATGTAAGGGTGTTTCTATCCTGAGAATCATCTGAGTTGGAGGTAAGATGGTGTTGCTGCTTTTGCAGGATGCTCCCTACATTGCAGGGAGTTAGAGCTGCTCAAAGGTAAGGGCTCTTTTTCTTTTGAGTCTGTGATCTCAGTTTGGTAGGTATGAATGAGCCCTGGGAACTGAAGTGAGTGAAGGTTGTATGCTGGTTAGGGAAGGAAGAGAATTATAAGTAACCTACAGGGACTTAAAAGTTGAATTTTATGACCTTAATCACTAGATGAAGTATCTTTAGTTTTTGTGGGAGCTATAAGAAACTGTTCTAGGACCAAAAAGATTTGAACAGCAAGCTGAATTTCATTTTTACAAACCTGGTTTAGCCTTGGAGATGTTAAGGTGTGCAGCTCCAGAGGAACAGCTGGATGGTGGTCTGACTGGATCTGCAGGATTATGGGTTCCCATGGCTGTTGTTTCATAGCTCGTATCTTTTGAATTATGAAAGCTCTAGACCAATTCTGTCTGTGATGTCAACCTTGAACTACCCTGACATCTTTTTAATCCAGTCATCTGCCTGTCTCTGTGCTGCAATTTGGCCTGATGGACTGCAGAACTACATTCTAGGGAAGTGCCATGGAAACGCCTAGACATCATCATTAAGACGTGAGCTGGGGGAAGAAGAGCTGGGCTCACACTCTCATCTGTACATGTGTGTGTGCTCACACAAAGATGAACACAAACACATTTGGGCAGAGGGAAGTTCCCCAGTCCTAAGAAGGAGTTGATTCCACTTGGACCGCTTTCTCCCACTTGGACTCAGGATGATCTGAATATTCTGAATGCTTGCTTTGTCTTGTCTGTTTTATGTCCATTGACTGCTACCCTTCAACTGTGGTCTCCAGCGGCCTGCTACTGCCTCCTACCTCATCCTTTCACTGCCACTGTTAAATTATGCTTTTACAAAGTCTCCTTTCCCCTTCCCCATAAAATTATCCCTTTGTGACATTGCCTTCCAATCAAAAAGAAACAAGGCATCTTGCTATTGCTTTGCTTTTTAAGCGTTGGGCCCATTCCTGTATGGCACGTCCTCCCTGTTTCTGTAACACAAGTAACAACCAAGGAATAATTTGTTACTGTCCTAATGATTTTACAGGCTAACTCAAGAGTACTTTTCTTGTTTGGTTTGGTTTATTAGTTGTTTGTTTGACTTTTCTTGGAAGGATAACATCAGGGCCAAATTAACTGAAAACCAAAGTGTTAAGATTACAAATCTGCCTGATCGCAGCATGGACCTGGTGCTTGTCCTCTCAGTGTTGCATGTAGGTAGATTTGTATATGCAGCTCTGATCAGGATTGTTGAGAGTATAGAGGAGAATAAATAGGTTTACTTTTAGGCTGTTGTATTAGCACATCTTTTTCAGTCATTTGCCTGAATTTTAGTCATTACCCATAAATTAATTTCCTTCAATTTGCACATATTTAACAACACAACATATGTTGTTTGGTGACAGAGCTTAGCCTTTCCCACTCAGAAACTGAGAATTCTCAAGTGATTTTGCTGGTACTAACTCCAGCTAGAAAATCTATGCAGGCATAGATTTGTTTTACTCTCATCCTTTTGCTGTAACACTTTTGATTAAAGAATTCGTCAAGGCAGAAGAAATCATCAACCCTCTTTAATTTACTATGGCTTTCAGTTTTTAATGGATGAAAAAACATAATAATATTCAGATTGAATTTTTTCCCCCCCAGTTTTTATATGACACTTAAGATTTGGTTGCTATCCTTGAATTAACTTGACAAGCAGAAATGGGGTGATATCAGCTTGCAGCTGATGTGCTTTAGATAAATATATTTGTGGTATACGTGCCTAGAATGGCACAACAATTTTATTCTTCTAAAAAGTTCTAGATTAAGTGCAAAGTTGTATGAATCTAGTTGTGCCTAAACTAGTTTCCTGGTCAGCTATTAAATCCTAGACACATTAAATTAAATTAATTTATTAATTTATATATTTAATTTATATATTTAGTTTATATATTGAATAAATATTCCAGCTATTAAATCCTGGAAACTTACTGTTGTAAAGCTTTCATGCTTTTGTAGACTTACCTTGTGAGTCTGGCTCTTAGGTCAGGAGGGGTTTTGTTAACTTCTCTGCTTAGGTGTTTTTAACTACTGTGTGACCTTATTTAAAGGGGTGAGGAAAGGTAATAATATTTGAGAAACAGAGTTCTCAACCACAATAATATCATATGGCTAACTTCTGGTTCTGAAAAGAGCCTTGAGATCAGAGGGGTGACTACTTAATGGGATCAAACTATGATGAAACACTCTTACCTGGTGAAGTAACTGTATCTTGAGTTGGCGCTCAAGTCTGTCTGAGATGGTGAAATTGCGATCTGGGCTTTGCATTATTAACAGGGTCCTCACACTGTCTGGGTGTGTGATGCTTTTCAGCACTTTTAATTTCTAATAAACCACAAGGTGAAAAGACAAGAGTTTCAGTTTAAAGGAGCTTCCATCACTTCTTTGTTCAAAAAGAAAGAAATAAAAGAAAAAAAGAAACTGAATACTTCACAATTAGGGCAACAGTTTTACAAGGGAATGGCGTTAGCTAGGTGTTAAGCAAAGTGACACTCCATGAAGGCAATAAGAAGGGAAGGTATTTCTGCATTTTTGAGGAAAATGTGACTTTTTGGGGTACTGCCAGTTTTTAATGAGAACCAGAATACTAGAGTCTACATAGGCCATTATTTACAATGGTCTTTGTGGCAGGCACTTTGGAGAATAATGTGAATGCAAACGTAACTTCCTCACAAAGTTCTGAGAAACATATTATAACTCAGCCAGAAGAGGTTTAGTGAGATTATTCCATTTCTTGATATGGCAGAGCTCCAGGCAAATGTGTGAAGGGGGGGAGCTTTAGCACCATCTGGAATCCACAAAAGCCTTCACTGCTGGGTGCCACCTTGAAACACTTACTGATACAGAGATTTTTCTAAACCTGTTAAGCGCTTTCTTAGTTTATTAAGCTTTTTCTGCGGTATAAAGTCTAACAAGGTGTCCATGGATCAGTGAAATAATAGAATGTCTTTCAAGTGGAATTGTGTAGTGAAGTCATCTTCTAAATGCAGAGAGCTGCAAAGGGGATGAATTGTAAACATTTCTCAAATATGATGGGCAACATCACAGTCAACAAAGTTTGCAAAATTGCTTGGGGTAAGAGACTGAGTACTCTTTAAGAAATTTCACCTTCCTTTCTTTATTGTAGAATCTGACTTGGTTTTCATTGTTAAACATTTTGATTTGTTTTTACTCAGGTTTTTTTGTTTTTTTTATAAGAAAAAAACCCACAGAATTTAACTCCTGTCAGTGAAGAAAAGGAAAAAAAAAAACCAAAACGGCTCTCCAAAAAGTGTTGTGTGTTCCTGCTGCTTATCAAGATTTCCATTTAACGTTCTTCCATAGCTGGAATATGTGCTGCCAGTGCCAGATGGCACAGTTTCTTAGAGAAGAACTAGCTCTTGCTTAGTAGTAATGCAGACAAACAATACCAAATTAGCATAAGCAAATGTCAGTGAGTTAACATAAAGCCTGTGTTATTTCTGTCTTTTCTTCTCTTCCTAGGCCATGGGTGTTGAGAGTGACCAGGAGATTGTACAGATGATTGGCACAGAGGAACATGTGATGGCTGCATTTGCTCCTAGCCTGGAAGAATGCCAAAAAGCTCAGATTTTTACACAGATGCAGGTGTGTCTTTTCACATGGCCAGAGACCATAAAAATCAAGACAGTGGGTATTGACCACTTTGCTGTGTCAGCAGTGGACATAGACTTTGTGTTTTAAGGTTTGTTTTGGGGGTTTATATCAAGCTGGGGCTTTTTAAAGCATCAAGACTTGTCAAACGTGAGACTTTTTCTCGTAACCTAACTGGAGAATAAAAAATCAAAGTCAAGCAATGCTTTGTTTTCAGAAGCCCAAGGTTGTGTTTTAATGACATAATCCTATATATAAAAAGTAGCAATGTCCATAAAACGAGGAATTGAAGACTTTTTTTGAAAAGGAGTTGCATGCCCCATTTTGCAGATGCCCTGTTGATGTGGGTATGACCATTTCACCAGGAGTAGATGTGCTCCTATTCTAATCCCTGGTATGAAGCCTACAGTAGCAGCTACCCTGTGTCCTGCTAAAGACTCTGCAGAATTCTCTTAGCTCATGTACTTTTTTTAGTTAGCCACAACTTAGGCAGTTTTGCTGGGAGGAAATGAGAATATATTAATCTGCTAGAAGAAGCCTTTGGAGATTAATCTTATTTCTGCTATTTCATTGTAAACTTTGTCAAATCATTCTGTGTGTGATGTTTAGTGTTTTAAAGTGAATACCTTTCTGGAGGCTTTTGAGGGTTCCAGCTAGCTTAAAGAGCTCCTAATTCAGAGTCAGATGAGTAAGACGGTGAGCTGGAGCAACACAGAGGAATGTGAAGTATCCAGGAAGTTGGAAAAACAGAAATGCAGAAGTTATTCTGTGCAAGAAATGTCAAATGAAGTTAATAGAGAGATAGCTCTTTGTGGAAAAGGGTAGCAGATGGAAAGGATAAACTGTCATTTAGTGGAGAGGGTGATTCTTTCACATGCCTTCATGGCTTCATTTCCAGGCAGGAACTTCTTGTGTGGACTTGGATAGCTTCTTGACTAATCTAACTAGGAATTCTGCAGATTGATTGACAACTGGTAGGAGAGTAAGAGTCCACTGCAAGGCACTCCTGGAGACAGACATGGATGCCACACAGTAGCTTTTGGGGATATTAAACAGTGAGTGTCAGCTCCTGGTTTAGTATCTGAATGAAATATAGCAAGTACGCAAAAGAACTGAAGGTGAAAATTCTAAATAAATGAACTAGGTATCTTTGGAATTTATTGAATCCTTTTTTCTATATATCTGCCATATCCTTCCTTTCAGTATCATAGTAAAGAATTTTCACCCCTTTCCATTCCAAATGTTACCAACCTGTGATAAACATGTTGTATACATAGTCAATTCTGTCAATTTTCAGGATTTTTTTTTCTTTTAGTATCACTTACGTCTTTGTTATTTTGCGGTTTCTTTGGTGTTTGTATCATCCATGGCTGGTGAGATTGCACTGGTTGAGGAATACACACATAACTCCACATGTGTGTATATTTCTATATGTTACAACTCTGATATTAACTCAGGTTAATTCCCTCCTTCACAGGCACTGAAGTACATTGGAAACAAAGTACGAAGGCAAAGGATGTGGGGAGGCCCAAAGAAAACAAAGATGGAAGAAGCCCGAGAGCTGCTGGCATCAACCATTCTGACCCATGTGCTTGTATGTGACGTTCTGGGAGTTTATTAAGCAGGAATAATCTTGTATGGTTATTTATGGTGTGAGCTTTGTTGGCAGGGAAAAATGTCTTTGATGGCTTTGTAGCTGAGATAAAGTAAATCAACCTCAAAATAAAGGGGAAGACTTGGATTGAGTCAAAAGAAATCTTTGTGAAATACTGTACCGTTGAACTAATCAAACTATACTTTTCTGCATAGCCAGGCAGTATCAGGTGTTAATTCAGAACTTTCATCTCACAACCTATACCTTTATTCTGATTTTCTTTCATTTGCTATCTGCTTCAAAGTAACTAATATATATTTTTTTACATTTTTAAAGAAAGTAAAACACTGAAACCCCTTTTGTAGCTCAGTCAGCCCAGATTACCAGTGATTTAAATGGATGTGTTTGTCTGAATGAGAACTAAGTTGCTGATCCTGAAACATGGGTGTGTTTTTGTTTTGATTAGTTTTTTGGGTTTTTTGTTCACAGGTGAAGGAATTCAATTTTCGTGCTAAGTGCATATACACAGCAGTGATGGTACGCAGAGTGATTTTGGCTCAAGGAGAAAATAAAGTAGATGACAGAGACTACTATGGAAATAAACGTTTGGAGCTGGCAGGGCAGGTGAGTTTTTACTTCAGAGCCAAATGTTTCTGGGTTTTGTAACTGTCTCCTATGAAAAAATGTAGAATAAGGAGTATCCTGTCTTCTCAATTGAAGTGTTTTCCCTCTCATTTTATTTTTGTTGGCTTTTCTGTGTTCACTCATAGATCTCTTCCATGATTGAGACTAATACATTATATCCTTACTTCTGTATTGCCTCTTTATACCAGACAAAGGGACAGAGCAGTGCATATACAGCATCAGTTCTAGTTGTGGCATAACACTGTTAGTGTTGAGAAGGCAGCAGTAAGAGCTGTCCCCCAGTGTTCCCCTCTAAGCAGCTGGGTAAAGGAATAAACTGGGACAAAGGAGGTGTCTGCATGTCAGGTTCAGGCTGTCCCACTGTGAAGAATCCAGCTTGTGTAACAGCTCACAAAACAGCCACTCAAACCTCCCATAATTTGTTGTCATCTGCCTGTCTGGCCTCTAGAGTAGCATGAATTAACAAGATGTGTGTCTCAAAGTTAACTTGAGCAACTAATGAAAGTTGATTTGTGGAGTTCTCTGCTTGCAGAATCTTGACACTGGAGGCAGAAGCAATATCAAAGGGCTGTAAAAGAGGGAATGGTTTGAGGTATCTGCCTGGAAGCATCCTTTTGCAGAGAGGGTGGCAGTTCACAGCTGTTTGCCAAACTGCATCATCCTAAGGCAAGAGGAATTGGCCTGTCAGGTGAAAGAACTGCTTGGCTAATATGGATTGGATTTTTCCTTGCTTTGTGTGCTTATTTGGTTAAACAGTTTATATTAAAATGGCTTTCCTGTGTTCAGTACTAATGTAAGCTGGAGTTTCAGTAGTTGGTGTCACCTGTGGTTATTGGTCATGCGTCAGAAATTCAGACAAGTACACAAAATACACTGGATGGCAGAAACTGCATCTCTGCTGCTCACAGCATTTGTACTGGGATTTCTGTTTCCACACACATAACAGTATTTGTTCTTTTTTGTTCCTATCCAGTGGACACTCTCATTTTATTACACTTTTTTAGATGTGTGCTTGCATATTGTTTCATTCTCCTCCTTTCTGCCCTGCCCTCTATGTACATATGTGAACACATGTACACACAGTGCTATTATTTTAGAGTAAAAACCACATGCTTTGCTTCTTAGTTTCTGAAATTTAGTCTAGTCCTTAGTTTCTGAAGAAACTAAGATGGCACTCTTGAACACATTTGAGGCACAAATGCAATGAAAAAAATGTTTTTAACTTGTTAGGATAAGAAAATTCTTTCTTCAAATTAATATCTTCACTGTTCATCTGGTGCTGAGACAGAATATGTTTCTAAAGTGTAAGGAGTAGTAAATGTACAGTAGTGCAACGCTCTAATGGGATAAATATTTTAAGCTGTGATTGATTTCTTCTGCAATATTGCTGTAATTCAGTATGGATTGTAATCAGTAAAATTAGTTTTTGCTTGGTCATCAGATTGTTCTTATTTAACTTTGAAGGAGTAGTTTTTTTTTTTTCCCAATATTTCTAGAAGCAGAAAGTAGAACAGGTCAAGAATTTTCTACAAGCTGTAAGAATAAGGCCTCTGCTCACACAGATGTTAACAACTAAAGTTGTTTTAAATTATGTGGGCAAAGGTTTTAAATGTAGAGGATCATCACAACAAAGCCAATGCATATTTTTTCTACATCAAGGAGAACTAGGTATGGGGGTCTTAACACTTGTTTAAGAATAGTTCTTTCTCTCTTGAGGTATTTTAAATGGTCATTTCAAGCTGAATGGTTGAATTCCCCTCTGCCATTTTTTTGGTGAAATACTATTTTTGTTGGATTGCAGACTAAATAGTGTAGAGTTTTTCCAGTTTCTAGATATTTGTGTTTAGCTAAAATTTGTGTGGATAAAGTGGTTGGTGGTAGTTTGTTTTCATTTTTGTTTTTTTAATGCTAGCATGTTCCTGGAATAAAAATCCTGTTGATTTAAAATCTGAATAAATGAAAAGAAAAAAAAAAAGAAAAAGATTCCCATGTGAGGAGAAAAACACAGTGGTCTAAACAGTGTAAAGACATAAATGGCATTGTGTTTATAAAAATGTGTGAAAACAATAGCTGCTAATTTCACACCCCATGGGACAAGAGAGTACGAAATGTGCTTTAGCTTTAGATAACAGAGTTGTATCCACTAGCCAAGCTGGTTTACAGAGCTTTCTCTTAGTCTGTCTGCCACTAGAGGCTCGGTAGGCCAGGTGCCAGCTGAGGTGTTAGCAAAACCTACCGATTTCAGGCTTAATCTTTTCACCTACCTTTTCTCTTCCCTTAATGTGTTCATTATTTGCTAAGCATTACTCTGTTCTTTGTCCTCAATTTTTTTTTTTTTTTTTTTTTTTTTTTTGTTTCTAATGCAGCTTGCTTTGTATGGGTGAGATATGGAACAGCACCAAAATCCGGCACCCTGGAAAGCAAGGGATTTCTACCCTGTGACAAAAGAATACCGCCTTGACTTCAGAGATTGCCTAATCCCAGCTGTTCTGATAATATAATTAAGGCTGCCTAATGTCTTTAATTTTGCAACCAGTTTGTGTGAAAGGGAGAATTTGGCACTCTAAAGGCTTAAACGCTAAATAGCAATCTCAAGGCGCCTAATTAGAATTCTCTGACATTAAGCTAATTGCTGAAACTGTATTTCAGCAGCTTAACTTCTTTATTAATTTTTCTTAGGATTTTCAATGAAAATCAATTGATGAGCTGTCAGTATTTTTTTTTCCTTAAATATAATTTGCTCCTTAGTGCTCTTCTCTGAAGAAGGCTGAAAGGCTCTGGACTAACTATGAAATCCATTGAATATTATCAGTGGCATTCCATCCTTTTTCTTTAATCTCTTGCACTTGACCTAAATAATGTGGTTATTGTGAGATTCTTCTTTGCCAGATAGTCAGAGCTCTTAGAGTCTGTGAGTGAAATTAGCAAAGTATGAGGCTTTCCAGACTGGCAAATAGTAACAAGTTGGTGTACTTGGGGTGTAACTGACTTTATTAGTTAGAGAAGAGGAAGGATGGTGTGGCTTTACAAACCCCATGGCATATGGAATTCAGAGATTCTTGCAGCTTTTTGATCAAAGAATCAAATATGAAAATGTATTCTGAGTATTTAATGTATTTAAAGTGTTTAGTTAAGTGTTTAAATCCTGCTCGAAGCTCTTGAGATCAAATGTTTACTGTAGTTAATTTCAAAAAAGTTTAGTTCTTAACATGATTGTCATATCAGCCATCTTAAAATGACACATTTCCTCCACTTAACTTTTCCCCTACTTTTGAAATTCTTCCCTTATAATCTTATTTTTGAGGGCTCCAGTGGGTTCTCCTTCTTAAGACAATGCTTCATTAAAGTTCCTTTTTTTATTTCTTGTGGAAATCTAATTTCAACTAATGGTGAAGTCACGGGTGAGTTGGAGGTGACTTGCAGATGACTTGCAGATGACTGGATTTCTTGTGACAGTGGTGAGAGGGTATAATTTTGTATCTGTTAATGGTATTACAAACATCAGGTAGGTAAAGAGGGTCTGCAGCACCTTCCTCTCATTCCAAGGTCAGGTCTAAAAAGCCTGTCTGTCCAGACTGACAATAGGATTCCACTTTTGTCCAGGGTTAGCATTCAGTGCGTGTTGTCACGAGCTTTACAGTGTCATTTGCCAAATGCTTTGGTCAGCCCAGCTGGAACACAGAGGTAGAGGAAAGGAGATGAAAACTAGTGGCCCATCCTAGGAGAGAGGAATGAGTGTGGTTTACTTTCTTCTTTCCAGAAGGTGAGGAAAGGTGGGGACTATGTCTCATGGAGACAGTTAAAATACAGTTTAATTCTGCATATACAAAAATTGTATGGTACAAATTACTTCTTCTTCTTCTAAGACTTCTAAGAACGTCTTGGCTTGTGATGGATGAGCACATAGCTTGTTCTACAATGAGTGCTTTGTAGACTGGGAACTGCCATTTCTGGCAACTGCATTTTTGGTTCTTCTGAAACTTGGAGCTATTTTAGACTCAAGTCCCAGGACTGGATTGTCAGGCTTTAGAGTTTACATGCTTACTTCAAAAGCTGCTCATTGTGAGCATGAGGTGCAGGTTTAAATGTTTTGGAAAACTATTGCTGTTGCAAGAAGAGGCTGAGCACACTGCAGAAACAAAGCAGATCGGAGAAAAAAGTCAGATTACATCTTTGGTAGATTTTTCTTTTTATGGCTATTTTAAGAAATAATTAATATACAAGAAATAATTGTCTTAAAATGCAACACTTTTGACCAGTTCTGTTACTGGGTTCATTTTGGGTTGATAGTTTGGGGTTTTTTTTTCATATTCAGCTGAGTTATGTAGCTTTATTGCCTAAACTGAAGACTTTTTGGGTTGTTGTTTTTTATTTTTTAAGGGAGAGATTTGAAGAGTATTGCACTTTGCAGATAGTAGCAGTTGTAGGAAACAGTGACAGATGTTGAACCAGGTGACCTCTGTGGGTGTAATTAGTTTTCCACAGATTGTGATTAGCAGAAAGTAGCAGGATAAAAGTGTGTATGAGTAAGGAAGCTGCCTATGAAACCTGAGGTATGTATTAGAGTAAAAACCAGTGTTGCCTCCAAATCTTGTGTGTAATTCAGGGTTGTACATTTAGGGTATTATATCTCTAAAAGAGTTTGTAACTTTAGGGAGGAGGAAGTAAATTAGCTGCATTATAATGTAGCAGATTAGGGAAAATAGTTGGATAGCATAGAGAAATATGGCTGTGCTAAAATACTGTGAAGGAAGGATTAAAGCAAAGCAAAAAGGAGTAAGTGCATAAACTTAGACCATTGTACTGAATTTCTATTATGAGATAAGTTCTCAGATACTGTAACAAGGCAAAAAACTTGGGATAAAATTATCATTTGTGAAACAGAAAAGTTATTTCTACCTGTTAACTGACAAGTAGAAAGGTAGAAATATTAAACTTGTGTCTCCCCTCTCCTTCCCCGTTTCCTAGACTTGAAGAAGTATAATTTTTCCCTTAACTGTTTTGTATTTCCAGCTTCTTTCTCTTCTGTTTGAAGATTTGTTCAAAAAATTTAACTCAGAGCTGAAGAAGATTGCTGACCAGGTCATCCCCAAGCAGCGTGCAGCTCAGTTTGATGTTGTGAAGCACATGCGGCAGGACCAGATCACCAACGGCATGGTCAATGCCATCTCCACAGTAAGTATTTCTGTTCTCATTCTAGGATGCAAAGCTTTTCCACCACAGTGAATGATGGAAGTGCATACATTTATTTTTGGTGAACCTTCTGGTTTTGGTTTAAAAAGCAGATCTGTTTCATGTTTTTTTATAGATTAAAATTGCAAAATTCCGTCATGGGCAGGGTGTTCGGAATTCACTGAAGAATCAATAATGATCAAGCATCTTTTATTTCAAGCTGATGTTTTAATTTTTGAGAAGGAATGGTAGAAACAGGCAAATTTAAAATAAAACTGGTCATGGTTGTATTTATCCAACTGACTGTCTTCTAGGTTCTACTTGACTCTGTGGTTTTTTATTATCTGGATTTAGCTGGGGTCAGGTTACATCATTTGTACAAAAGATTTTTGAAAAACAGCAGGAAAACATCATGAACAAGAGGGGAAAAAAATCCCCTCAACCTCAATTTTGAGCTCTTTGAGGGCAATGCCTTTTTATTTTGAAGCTGCTGGAATGAACAAATTTGCAGCATAGAAGTTAGTACTTCTGTGCTAATGGTGCTGATCTATCTAACAGGGAAATCTGTTGCATGCCATAATATCCATGCCATATTATCCTTTTTTTAAAAAAAAACTTATAATTGCCCTTTAAATTTTGTCTTGGTTGGATTTTAGTCTGTTTCCATCTTCTGCTGGAACAGATACTCTCATTCACACCAGTGGACAAGAACAATAATAGATGCTAACTTTTTCTTTCACCTCAGACATCTGCAAGAGCAATTTGTGAGATTGCTCCTGAAATCCAGCTAGTAGCTTGTAAAAGACTTTGAAATGCATGATTGTTAAAAGAAATTAGATTAGACTTAAGTATTGTAGGAGCTGGTAAAAACTGTGGAACTTAATTTTTAATCTTTGGTACTCTTGAGAGGGCTTTTCTGCCTAGCATGAAACTGAGGTTTTTCTTTGGTTGTTGTAAACAAATTAACTCCACATACTGCATCCAAAACCACCAACAGCCTGTAACTTACAAATCCCAGTGTTAAAGCTTATCACTGTTTAATTTTATGAGTGCCCCAAATGTAGTTAAATCTCTACAGTGCACATAACCAAAACAATTGACAGATTTGTTGCTCTAAATGCTAGTGCTTTCTTCTAGCTTGTGCCAGTTTTTCCATTTGGACTGACAGAGATAAATCTGCAAATATTCAGTCCATATTCAGTAAAGTCTTCGTTCTTCCTCTGTCTTTGGACTTTTTTTTTACTGCCACATAAGCAGTTAAACACCATCTGCTCTTAAGCATTGAAAAATAATTTCTCAGGAACAATGCCCAGTGCACACCATTCAAGAGATTAAGCAAATACCATGAAAACCATTCTTGGAAATGACAATCTCCAATCTCACCAGAATGCTTCAATGATAGTCTCAAAGAGCATGAAATAACTGAGCAGATTCATAATTACACCAGGAGCATGCAAAAGAATTCATAGCCCTACTGCATCAGCTGTACAGTGGTACTCAGTGATATTTGCTACAGGTCCTCTCCTTACCCTGGAAAAGCCCAGGAAAGAAGGTAGGACAGGCAGTAGTGCCACAAGTCTCATGGACATTCCAGCATCCTGAGAACCACCTGATGCCACTGAGGGGGAAAATTCCCATTCATAAGAGTTCTCAATAGGATGTTTTCAATGGGGATGGTTTCACAACTGCCCTGGCCCCTTTTGGTTTTCTTTTTTTGTGGACAACTTTTGAAAGATCTAATCTGTCCCTTCCAAAGCAGAAAGAATATTTTGTATGACTTCTTCAGGCAGTATTTTTATTTTTTCCTGGTCTTTTTGATTTTAGACTCTTCTGGGCAGCAAAGGAGAAACCACATATTTATTTAGCATACAGATGCAATACTTTCTAGTGTGAAGAAAAACTACTGATTTATTGTGTTGTTCCACTTACAGTCTCATAACTCCCAGTCTTTAAAGGATGAAATGGTCAGTGAGAGAACCCTTCCCAAAGATGCTGAACAAATGAACAAATTTCTTTTGATTGACTTGCCATTGGGCATGATGTCTTCCCATTTGCTATTACAAATTTGAGATATTTGATAGTCTCCAGTGGAGGCAAATAACAAAGTCATTCGTATGGGTGGTGTTTTCTTCCTGTTGATTACTGAATGGGATTGTGCTGTTAAAAGTGTAAAATAAAAAACCCAAGCAAATCACCCTCTAAAAGGGCTTTGGTGTAGTACAGCAAGTGAGCTTCAAATTATTTGTTATTACTGGTGAGCTGAATTTGGCCAAAATGGTTCAAGAATTAGCAGAATTCTTAGCAGTTCTTGGGACAATGTTATCTGTGGACTGACCAGTAACATGGTGCCTGGAGTAAATATATAGTATTTCAGACAGAAACTTTCTGTATCCATTGACTCAAGTTCAGAGAACTGGATATGGAATAAATGTCACAAAGGCAAAAATTGTAGCACCAAATTTCAAGATAGCGGTAGAGATTATTAATCTGCTCAGCATAGAATGTGTGTCCTGGAATATGCTCTGAGCTCCTCTGTTCTCTTAATTAAAACCACAAGTGATAGTGCCAGTGACAGTCCTGAAACACGAACACTCTGAGATGTGCATGGATCTTGCATTTCATATTTGGTGTTGTCCAAATAGAGGTTGGGTAGACCTACTCCTCCCACATCCACACACCCACCCACCCACACACACACACACTCTCTCTTTTCTGGGAAGACACATCAGTGAGTCTTTTTCCTCTGGATTCCAAAAACAAAAGGCATCAAAAAACTAGAGGGCTTTGATGTCAGACTTCTCCAGCATAAATGTCTGTGTTTTCTACAAAAGTAATTAATCATGGAAAAGGCAAAACTGAAAGCTAGTGGGATCTATTGTAAAAGTGTTAATATCACTCCAAAGGCCTTCCTTTCTTTTTTAAATATTAAAAAAAAAATAAATCTATAAAATAAAACCAAAATAATTTGATTTGGCTATATTTGAGTATTGATTTACCTGTGAGGGACAGATGAAAAAGAATATTTGTGTGATTGAATATGTAGTAGCAAAAGTATCCTCTCATGTGAAAGAGCAGTCCTTTTGTTTCAACTTCTATTTAATACTTAGCACAGAAATGCTATAATTAGGAGTTTATAGGCAGATAGTTAAAAGCTTTATTTCTATAAATGGGCAACATTTGTTTTGCAAAGCTCCTCAGATACCGTTCTGTCTAGACACTGGACAAAGTTAAGACAAGCTGCACAAATTCTTTTGAAACATAAATTTTATTCTACAGGGAAATTGGTCTCTAAAGAGATTCAAGATGGACCGCCAAGGTGTGACACAAGTCTTGTCCCGCTTGTCTTACATATCTGCTCTGGGAATGATGACCAGGATCTCTTCTCAGTTTGAAAAGACAAGGAAAGTGAGTGGTCCTCGATCACTACAGCCATCTCAGTGGGGGATGCTCTGCCCTTCTGACACTCCTGAAGGAGAGGTGAGGAGTTTCTATTTTGCTTTCTGTGTTTCTTGTCCTGAGGAATGGAGACACTTGAATTTGAAGCAAGTAGTCCTCATCAGAGGAATAGTTCTGATGAGGAGGTTTCTGGAGAGATAAATTATCCTCAGCCTGATAACACAACTTACTTCTTGCATCCCACCTGTTTACATCCTGGTCCTCCTTATTATATTGCCTTTTTTCTCCTGCATAGACTGTCTGGAAGCAGTTCTGAAAGTATTTGGCTATATTAGAATGACATGAACAGGTTTCATTTTTGCAGTGGAACTACTTGTTCTCTTCTGATGAGAGCAGAAAGAGAGGAGTCCTAAACCCCTCTTCCTTTCTTCTGTAATAAACATTCTGTTTTGAAGTTGCAGCATCAACCTGCAATGTTTCTGGAAATATGTACCAGTATTTCTTTAGCCATTAGCTTGAGGAAGAAAACCATCTTTGTACATATTTAAACCAAAAAATTGATTCTGACAGTTTTTTTTGGTTTTTTTGCTTTCCTTTTATTTCTTTTTTTTTTTTTTTTCTCTGTATAGAAGATACTCTTGGGGGAGGAACTCTGAACAATTCAGTATGAGCAAGTCTCATTAAGTAGTTGAAATAAAGTTATACTGTATAACAAGATACTTTTTCATTTAAAAATGTTAATGTTTTTGTTATACAGGATATGTGGAAAATTGATAAATGAACTGATTTTATGTTCCCATTATGTTGCTGAGTAGCTGAGGAGAGAAATATAGGGTTATACATGGTTGGTTAATTTAAAATATATTTCAGTGCCTGTATTTTTTATTAGCTTGTAAATGCTAAAACATTACATTTCAATGTGATATAGAAAAGCTAACCATTTTTTTCCTCCAAAATTTCAGGGTCATTAATTTGTTTAATTTCTTTCACTTTGTACTTTGTCATCTTTTTGTTTTTGTCAGTCATAAGTACAGTTTGGAGAGGAAAATGCAAGTACGGTAATAACACATAGAAAGAGAAGGAATAAAATTAGTGGGTTTTGGTTTTGTTTTTTCCTAGGCCTGTGGTTTGGTTAAAAATCTTGCCCTCATGACTCATATTACTACGGATATGGAGGATGGCCCAATTATTAAATTAGCCAGTAATCTTGGAGTTGAAGATGTCAACTTGCTCTGCGGTGAAGAACTTTCATACCCAAACGTGTTCCTGGTTTTTCTTAATGGTACGTTACTTTTCAGCAGTCTTGACTCTGATTTGTTGCTGATGGAGAGTTAGGCTTCAGAAACCCTCCAGTAGTTCTTGGAGCACAGTCAACTGCAGATGCTGCTTTCCATGTGCAAATAATTTCCTCTGTAAATATTTTGATAGGGTTGGGCAAAGTAGATGGGCCAGATGATGACACTTAGTTGCATGAAGTTGTGTCTTCAGAACTCTGACTGCAGATGTGTGTAGCTGGGAAATTGAAGCTTTCTCAAATTTCAGCCCTGTTTTTAAGCCCACTTGCATAAAGAGGCACAAAAATATGCACATTCAACTAGAGGTCTGTTTGTTTTTTCAGATATTGCCCAAAGGAGGTACCACTCGTAAAGTACTTTTAAAAGAAAATAACTTCAATTTGTAATATTGTAATAAATTTACAAATTCAGATCATCCTTTGCAGAAAGTATTTAGTTTTTTGTAATCTTTATATGTTTTTATATATATATATATTCATGCATTTTAAAGTGCCTTTAAAAACAAAAAGGAAACATCAAAATATTGAGAAGTTCAGCAGTGCTATTCTCTTTAAAACTACCTTTGAAGGAGCATCTTGCTTTGTGTGTGATTAGAAAAATTAGGCCATGGAAAACAGGCCTCTCTTGTTAAAGGGATGGATTGGCACACGTGCTTTGCATCTGCACGTTCATATTTCTTTTACAACTGATCTGTTAACATTTCTAAAACAACAGGTACTATGGTGTCAGATTTCAAAATACTGACATTTTTATAACTATAACTCTGATTTCAAAGTAGCCTTTTGTCAGCAGCATCCGCTTCCAGGGACCAGTGTGTGACGTCTGCCACCATGAATAAGTTCTTCATTTACCCTTGAATTAAACAGCAGTTGTTCTTCAACCCTGTCTTTTCCCAGTAACATTAGAGCAACACTTGACCGAACTGCATTCCTTTGCTTTGCTTTTCTGTAGCAGTGTGTTGAAGATTAGGTTCAGCGAAACCACATGCACTCTCTTCTCTCTTGTTTTATGGTCCAAAGATGAGTGCAGAGCCAAAATATTGGACTGTTCCTTCACAAGCTTGGTTTGCAATATGGAACAAGATAGTACTTTCCCAAATGTAGATGAATTAGTACTACTTGAGGCAAGCCAAGTTGCTGTTCAGTCCAGTGGTTTGTGGGTTTAATCCATAAAAAATTCAAACTTGTGAACTTGGTCCTGATTTAAACTTATGACTTAAGAAGGCAGATAATCTGTTAAGTACAAGTTCTTTAAGCTGTAAAAACCTTTCTATTGTCTTATAAATTCCCTAAATATCATCCTTTGCCTTCTCCTTTAAAATTTTTAAAATGTGACCATAGATGTTTATTTTATATATTAAGATTGCTTTGGGCAGGTGACTCTTTAAATTAATTTTACTCTCTTGTTTGTTCATTATGCATCAGAAGATAAAAGTATGAGCTGAAGTGCCCTGCCAAGACAGCTGAGTTGAGCTGAGTACCTGAAAGAGAAATTCTGGTGCTGATGTGAGTGATCACATATATCAAAATATCAGGACTTTAAAATTTCTGACAAGGCAGGAGGGCCGTTCCTTAGCCTGTTCTTGGAAACTTTCAATCCATTTCAGTACAGTTGAAATTGCAGACTTCAGAGTTGCTAACTTGTGCACCAACTGATGAATGGGCACCTGAGCAGAAACATACTTGAAGAAAGCTGGAAGAAACACATCATTTGGTTTCTCAGGCTCTTTGGAAGCATGCAGGTAGATGACTTGTGAAATTCTGACAATTTTGAATCAAAACTGAAAAAGAGCCAATTCTTATTCACCTTAGAGAAGGGAGATAAACTTAACCACCCTAAACTAGGCACATTCAGATTATTTGCAAGAAGCAGGAAGTACTATGCATGCCACACGTGATCAGAATTTGTAAGTTGTTTTGGATGTGCTAAGGATGCACCAGGTATTTATTCTCTCTCTGAACAGGTAACATCCTTGGAGTCATACGTGATCACCAGAAATTAGTCAACACCTTTCGGATCTTGCGTCGAGCGGGTTATATCAACGAATTCGTTTCCATCTCTACAAATCTGTCTGACAGATGTGTCTACATTTCCTCTGATGGAGGAAGATTGTGCAGGTAAACTTCTTATCAAAATTACCTCACTACCTCACTGTTCTATGCTGGGCTAAGACTTTCATGGGAACAGATTTAAACAAATTTAAACAAGTTCAGTACGACTTGAGCATGTCTTTTCTCCTTTAGTAGCCGTCATTCAAAACAGGCAGAGGTTGGAAGAGGCAGAATGGGTTAATGAATATATACATATTTTAGCATTAACTGGCTGTGTGCATATTCTGTGTGCACTTGAACAAAGCAGCAGTCACAACTACTGGTGGTATTCCACTTTATTCATTAATTGAATCTCAGAGCATGTTGAATGCAGTTTGTGGCTTGTCAGAGGCTCCAAAATAGTAAGTGTACAAACCATCAATTAATCATACCTGGTCAAGGGATCCCGAGTAGTGGCATATTTAGTGGCAGAGAAATCACTTTTCCAGTCAGGGCTAATACGTATAGTTTGAGAGATGTGAGTAAAGCTTTAAATTTTTAAAATAAATGCAAGGGAAATCATGTGGATTTGCAAGGCTTTACCAAGTTTGCTTTGTAGCACCCCTCACCCTGCAATTGTTCAGATATCCCTATTAACCATTTAAAAGTGCTTATTAGTCTTCTAACAGTTATTTAGACTTCAGAGGGGACTCCACAAGTGTCTTGTAGCTATTTGCTACTCTTTATCAAAGCAACTTGTCCAAATAGCAACAGCCCTTGACGTTGCCTTCTTGCATGCCATCCTTTGTGTCAGTGTTTTTGTGTGGTAGGGAAGCCTTCAGAGATCCATGTGCTGTTGAAATTTATGGATTCATCAGAGATCATCCACAGTAAATGCCTGTACTTTACAGCATGTAGGCAATTGCAAAGTGCAACTTTGCATGTGGACACATGAGCACAAACTGTTCACTTAGTGTCCTGTAAAATCCCTGCAGTAACCACGGTACTAAATGCTGTTCTTAGCTTTGTAGTTGGGGAAATCTCAAATCTTTTAAAGCCAACATCAAAATCTGTAGGAAAAACTTTAAAAATTTTAGTTGAATGATTTAAATGGGAAAGAATTTCACCTCAAAATGTAAGTCTTGATTTTTCTGATACACATTTTAAATAAATAGTTACTGATTTTATTTATGTGGTTTTATCAGTTAAAGGCCAATAAATTTTAATAACAGTTTACAGAATAGGTTGTGCATAGGCAGGGTTCTTAGTGTAAGTATAAATTAAGTTACCTGTTTAAGTATTTGCTATGGCAGTCTTTTTTTTGATATATATCTATTTCAGGCCTTACATAATTGTCAAGAAGCAGAAACCTGCAGTTACAAACAAGCATATGGAAGAACTGGCTCAAGGATACAGGTACACGATTCAAGTAGACCATAGTAATTTTCACCAAGTAAATACTGTGTGAAGGTGCTTCAGTCAGTCAGTGTTTCACAGTCTTGGGGTTAGCTAATTAGAGAAGTCTGCTCTCCTATATAAATTCATAATCTCTCTACTGGAGATTTTCTGTTTAAAGTCAAATTAAGGCTGGTGTTCGTATTTTGTTACTGCTGTGAGATTTGGTGAGTGTACAGAATAAATACATCTCACATCTTCATCTTTCTGCAAGTGGAAGGTTTGAGGCAGTATCATTCTTCTCCTGATTGAAAAATCAAATACCTCACAGGAGTATCAACTTAACCACCCTAAACTAGGCATACATTCAGAGTTTTTTAAAAAGTCTTCAAAGTTTCTGCAAATTCTTTGTTTATATATTTTTTAAAAACACCACACTTACACAAAGGCATTTAAATTTAGCTCTAATTAAATTTCACAAAACTATCACAAAAATGTACATCATTATCCTTAGATTTGCCTACATTTACAGTGATGATGATTACATATGGGAAGATTTTATGTAGTTGTTCAAGTAAGTAACATTCATCTGTCAGACTGTGAAGCAGTGAGTGGGCAACAGGATTAATTAAAAAACCACGTTTTTTATCAATATGTAATAATGCACAGAACTTTACATGTATGAGTATTTATCTGGTTTAACTTTACATATTGCAGTCCTTTAATATATATACTAAGTACTTTATGTTTGCAGAAATATAAGACAGTACTTCTAGTGCAGTTTTTAATTTATATGTAGGAATTTTGAAGACTTCTTGCATGAAGGCCTTGTTGAATATTTGGATGTGAATGAAGAAAATGACTGTAACATTGCCCTGTATGAAAATACAATCAATAAGTAAGTATGCATTCAGTAATTGGTATGGGAAAATCTTTCATAAGGTGACTCTCTGAAATGGAAATATATAAATAATGTTACTATTTTCATATGTACACACTGCTCCCTTGCTAATGGTTGAAACTACTCCAAATGAAAGCTAGAAAAAAATGAAATGAAAAATTAAGGAAAGAAATCTGTCTGCACACATCCTAAATTATCCATGGGAAGTTACTAAAAATGGTTTAGATTTTGGGAGATCTGTTCTTGCTAATGACTCTCAAAAATACTAAATACTTAAAGGTATATCCTTTCTTTCTCTGCATGTGGCTCTTTGTTTTTGTTTTTTTTTGTTCTGATGGTTGGGCTGCTCATCATAAATAATTTTACCCAACAGATGTCCAGAAGGCAAATGGTTCCACGTGTTGTTTGATTAACTTAGCATATCATGATTATTTAGAAATTTATTTTCTGGCTATAAAGGGACTTTAGACACCCACCTTACAGTAAATGGAGTGCTGGGATGAGACCTTCCCTTTGACTTTTGGATATATAATAGGTCCTGGTAAAAATGTCTGCATCATTATGTGTATTTTTTACCACACATCTTAAAACTATTTTTGATACGTGATTTTAATTCAGAAATATTTCCAGATCTGTTACGTTTTCCATATATTTGAAGGACCTGCTGCAATTTTTTTTACCCTTGTCTTCTGACTGTGATTCAAGAGCCCACATTAAAGGAAGGATTCTTTTAAATTTTTAAGTCCTCCTATCTTTTTACTGGTTTTTAATGTTTCTCTGACAATATCCTGTGAACTGAAGGCTGAATATGAAATGCTAGAAGTTATCTCTGTGAAATGTTTCATCAGTAGATTTATGCAGAAAATTCTTTTTTCCAAATAATCTGTCATGCTCAAGTATTCCTGCAAGCTAATAGAAATACATCATTGATTTCAGTGGAGCTGGGTGAGCCCTTCAATTATCTTTAACCTTTGCTAAATATAATGCATTTACTCTGCTAATTAAATTGCATTGCTCCTACCCAGGCTTTTGAAGACTTTATCACTTTAAGAAATTACTCTTGCATGCTCTTGACTGAGTTCTGTATACATGAGCAAAGAAGAGCGCACACAATTGCTGTCATTTGTGCCAAAATTAAATAACTTCCACAAAGCACAGAGCTGAAAATTTAAGTTACAGGACAACTGACTCAGCTAGGAAGGTTAATGGGAATGTATCACATGAAATCATTGTTTAGTCCAAAAGAGGAGGAGAAAGTGAACTTCCAATGGACCAGTGTGAGGAAAGGACTCCACAACAACTGCTAGGAAGCTCAGAAGATTCTTGTATTGTCCATCAATTGTTCTGAGTTTGGCTTCAATGCTGACAGTGGCTAACAGTGCCATAAGTATCTGAGCTTGCATTCTATGAGCACATTGCTCCTTGCATTTGGTAATGGTACTCCCTACATCCTGAATAGTTGAGTTGTGTACCCCCTTTCCCCAGATGATCATCTTGCATTTTAAATGGTGTGACCATGTTCGTACAGCTTGTTCTGGCAACTGATACAACCCACTATCTGAAATATCCCACTAACATTCCTACTTTTGTAATACAGGCTTCTTTTAGCTACAGTATCCTCTCTTTATCTTTCCAATCCTATTAGAGGGAATTTCTTTGGAGTATTTGCCTCTAATGTGTTCAGTTTCTTCCTTAAACATTTGTAACTCTGCTTTTCAAACTCACAAGGTTGTTTTTCCTTTCTTGGGCCTGGTTCTGGCAGTAGCATTTTTGACCTGCAGAAACTGCAAGGTTTGAAGGTCTCCCATTAGCACTCTGGAATACTTCATAAGGTAGTAGGACCTGTGTATGTTGCATCATCTTTCTTTGAAATAGGATTCACCTCACTGGAAGAAGACATTTTGTTGAATCTCCTATATGCAAATGTTTATCTACTTCTAAGCACTTGTACCCTCTGAAGAAATTTGCAAACTTCACTATCAGTAAGTCTCAAGCCTCTGGTTTTATTGTTTGGAAAGTGTCAGCAGTTCTGTGAAGCTTTGCAGAATGGAGGAGGAGTCTCTGCTTTAAGTTTGATTCTGGCTCTTGGGACCATTTTGCAATTACTTGACTGCAGTTTGGATTCACCTATTAGTATTTTCTTAAGACAGGCTTTAGACAACATTGCTGCTTTTTTATCAAGTGGAGAAAAATAGTGGCTGTGCTTTGGTCAGCAGGTAATTTTTAGGTTGTTCAGGTGTATTTGTGATTTATAAAGATTTCTAGGACTGATAGATAGCTTCATTGGCTTAATCCTCAGGATTTCCAGGTCTGGTTTTTTTTTCAGATTTCATTATTCTTCCAGTAGTACATATATTGTTTATCTAAGTTTCTGCTGGCACTTGTCTTCAGTCTGTTTGTGCTTGTGGGTAATTCCTTAGCCTTTTTTAGCTTATGGTGCTTGGCTGTCTTTTGAGTGTTGCCATAATAAAGACTTTTCTGTCACTTCCTTGGCAAGATCCTAAAGTTTAGTAATCAAATTAATTTATTTCAATAATTAAAGTCTTCCAAAAGACTTCCAAGAGAAGTCAAACATGAGATGAGATTTTCAGAATGCATTGGGTTTAGATGTCTGGGAGAAGCAATATATGCATAAACCCAAGCTCTGTGTAATAAATCCAGGAAAGATAGGCTTTGAATAGGTTTAGTTATAATCATCTGTATTTCATAATTCCCCACTTCCTAATTACTTATCTTGATTTCAATTCCTATCTGCTCCAGCCAAGCATTATTGTACACTTCATTCTTAGTTATTAGTCTCTCCACTTGCATCCCAAAATGTGCTATGATTTGTCTTTGTTGAGCATGGACTTTCTCTTCTGAAGCTCATGCCAGATAGAACAAATTGTCTCTCTGTCTTTACTCCTTTTCCCTGGCTTTTTACTTCTCATGAGTACTGTCTTTTAACAACATAATCACTTCCAAAATATTTGCAGAGCTTTTCAAATAGTGTTGTATTATGTCATGTACCTATGGCATTGGATCTGGTTTGGAGACAGATGTTTTCTCTTTAACTGATACAGCTGACCCTGGAAAACTAAAACAGTTTTTTTAATACCTGAATCTGTTGTGCTCTTCCTTCTTCCATCTCCCCAGTGGATTTCTGGATCTCTGAGATTAGTGATTTGATGAGGAGGGCTCTCGTTACATGAGAAGACTTTCCTTAAGGCATTTTGGGTCTTACTGTATAAACTGATGTTTTATTGTCTTACTGAGCTCCCTCAGGTTGTCATTATTTGGAGGCTGTTACGGAATTTCATAAACCCTGATTTATTTCTCCTTCGTTTCTTTTCGTGTGGAAACAAAGCCAAAATAAAGTTGTTGGGTTTTAGTAATAAAAATAAAAATCCTGTAGTGAATCCATGTTTTGAGGTCCTACTGCCTTACATTCTCCTGAACAGAATTGAATTTAAAGTGTTATGAGATACTGCTAAGTTAAATAAATTCTACTGAAGTTGTTTGTTCACAAGCCTGCCATAATTTGTACTCTTTCTTTTAAGAGATACAACCCATTTGGAGATAGAGCCTTTCACGCTTCTGGGTGTCTGTGCTGGGCTGATTCCATATCCACACCACAACCAGTCCCCAAGAAACACTTACCAGTGTGCCATGGGGAAACAAGCCATGGGTAAGACTTCACTTTTTATTCCTCTTTGAAGTATTATTTAGTTTTTGAAGCTATGTAGCAAAAGTGACAAAGAAAAATTCTTTCTTTCCTGGTTCACATAAAAGCTTTGCTAGGAAATGTAACAGAGCACTTCTTTAGCTTTGAGAAAAAAAAGAATTTACCTCTGAAATTTGGAAATATTAATGTGAAAAGAATACCAGTCAGTTTTGTTTAAGACTATATCTGCAGTTCTTAACACTTAAAAGAAAATTTTAATAAACTGGGACACTTTCACATTTTCTATTGTGTTTTATTGGAAATCATCATAACTTTCAAATTTTCAGCATATCTGCAAGATTGACAGAGTGGGGATTTTTTTCTCTTTATGCTGCCATGTGCTGTGTGTTTCCAGACATAAAAGAGTTAAAAAGTGTTCTCACAAAGAGAGACAGAGCACAGATTGAGGAGCGTTTCCTTGACTGGTTGAGTAATTGTTGTAAAAATAAATATATCAATAGTTAACATTTACATGAGAGAGCAAGAAGAATCAAGTGTGAAAGAGAGTGGTTAGTTATTTGAACACTTTCCACAGCCATGGTTTAGATTTTGTGCTTTTGTTGTTTTGGATGAAGAGGGTGAGTACTGAAACAAAATCAATTTTCTGATTACTTACTATTTCATTTGACAGTGTCATATCTGGTCATTAAAATCCAACTGTTTTGTAAATTTGCTGCTGCGGGGGTAATTGACAGCAGTGAAGTTCTAATCCTTTCTTTAATACTCAGAGAAACCAGCATTAAAGTGTCCAAGTCTATGGCCTGTGATTGAGGCAGAGGAGCCTGAGCAGTCATACATCAATTCAGACAGCTGCATTCAGACTGGTGCTTTACAGGCTGGTTTCATGGCTTGTATTGATGGCTTGCTTGCAAGTTGAGAGCTACAGTGGCACAACTCTGTCTCATGAAGAAACTGCCACTTCAGTTAGGTTTACCAAACCATTTATTTTGTGCTGTGTGTTCAAAGCTGAAACACTGCACCTTTTGTGAGACTTCTCCAGCAGAATTGATAGCAAAGTAACTGCCTTATGCTGAACTGTCATGTTGAGCACATGAAAACAGAAAATAGCAAGATGCATGTTCTCTATTTAAATTTTAAAAAAGAGAAAGGGTGGGTGGGTGGAAAGAGGAGCGATGCAATCTTTTTCCTTACAGTTCTCCCCCATCCCATTATCTTTCCCCCACCTCTGAGTCTCTATTTTATGACTATTAGTCTCAGAAGGTTTGGTTAGTTACCACACACAGTTAAGCAGGATCAGTGTGTACAGAAAGCCAATTCAGTATCTGTGGAGTTCTTTTGTAGTTTTCTGTGTGAAGGTTTTTTTCCCCGTTTTGTTTTGAGTGTCATTTGCAATTCATTGTCTGTGTTTTCTGAGGTTGGTGTATTCAGCTGCTTTGACCCTAGGTCTTGCACATTTAGCTCCTTGGATACAATCCTCTGACGTTCCTGCTGACGCTAGGAACACAAAAGCCATTGAATATCTTGAGCAATAAAAAAAAGCCTTTGTTTCAGTTTGTTATGACAAAACACCTGACTCAAAGAAAAAGCAGCTAGATAAAAGTAAATTTTAAAAGTTGGCACATGACTTGAGCTATATTTTGCTCTTCTGAAGTACCTGCAAACACCTGAAGCTTTTTGTAATAACTGCTTAAAAAGAAGCCACCATAAGTGGCAATATGTGGAGCAGAGATTTTTCTCTATGTTTATTGATCAGATGAGACCTAGAGGGTATTCCCCCCATTACATTCCATTGCACATACTTTTTTCTGTTTATTTTTGTGGAGAGATGTGATATAGTGTTTCAAACCCCAACCTTTAAGTAACTATCCACCTTTAATGCTTTCTTTCTCCGTGCTGAAATTGCAGAGCAGCTTCTCATCCAGCACTGCCATGTGGAAAGTCTCATGTCCAAGTTCCCTGTGTCACTCCCTTGACTGTCAAAACCTGGGGCAGTGAAGGGAGCTCAGGGTTCAGACTGGGAGAGGAGAGCCTTGTGCTTGTCAACACTGACCCACCCCCTCTGACCACATCACAGCTGCTGTGCCACAGCTTTGGACAGTCTTCTCTTTTTTAAGACTCTTTTTTAAGCAACATCAAGCTGAGGAAAGGCATGAAAGCACAAGTAAGCAGAGAGTGGACATCAGAGATTGCAATGAGGTCTGTAATCCAGTGTCCCTGACAAGTGTTAGGTCCTAAAATAGTAATGTTTCTTCTGGAGAGCATTACATGCCCTGAAAAATACCTCCCTTTCAGGGGTTGATGAGTCATCTTTTTGGAGGACTAGAGCTGCACTTAATGATCAAACTGGATTTCAGCAAACTTAAATTGAAATTAAGCCGCTCACTTTCGGCACAGATTATTTACCATATGTTGCAGGTTGAACTGTAAGACTGAAAGGAAGTTAGGTAGTAAATACAACAGCAGCTGCAAAGACCTCAGTTGAATGTTGACATTTCAGTGCAAGGTTAACAGTTGTACCTTAAAATCTCAGAAGTACTTAAGATGAAAATACAAGAGTCTGTACTGTTTGCATTTCATGTGTTGGTAAAATAATGCTTAAGAGGATCAAAGGCTTCTACAGTTAAAGAAATAGCTCTAAACCGGACTTTTTAATTCCATTAAGACATAAAAAACCAGTCAGTTTTACACATTGTACATCTGTGACTGTGTAAAAGCCTAATAAGAGGAATGAAAACATACAGTTTTCCTGCCAGTAATCCCCATATTGCACATGCCCATGTGCTGCTGTGTAAGTGATGGTGTGGGTACACAATGCAAGCTGTACAATCACAGCCCAACTGTGCACTGCAGTTTCAACCCAAATGAACTCGAGTGCTGAGTAAGGAAATGAAGGTTTGGGTGTTGACTGTTACTTTAACCTCTGAAAGAAAAGGAAGGGCACAGATGTTGGTGGGTGAGAGCTTTGATGTAGAAGCTTATCATGAAGCAAAAACTTTTATATTACAAAAAAAGCTTCTTACTGTATGATGTACTTTCTGCTTTGCTTCTGTGAAGTAGCAAAGCCCTTTATCTACTGCTCTGCCTTGTACTATAGCCAGCTGAATGTGTTAAAATTGAGTTAAGAGGATAAATATGCTTCAAGGAACTGAGTGCTGGGGGGTTTTGACAGTTGTGAAAGCTCTTCGGTGGACTGAGAGCTGGAGTCCTCCCAAATTTTGTACAGCTAGCCCAGGGGCACAGAATCTAAACAAACCTCAAAGCAAAACCAGCTTTTGCTGGTCATCACAGCTGGATCTGGATGTGCTGTGACTGCAGCTCTGTTCTGCCACTGCTCTTTGAGGAGTGTTTGTGCTCTGTGACACGACCCCATTTTGACACCTCTCCTCTCGTTGGTAGTAGGCACAGAAGTGCTGAGGCAGAAATGAGCTCTCCCCCCTGACACCCCCCCACAATTTACTCATAATCTTTTAACCCACTCCTTAATCTTTCTACTGTGAAAAGAGTATTTCTAATACTTAACATCCAGATCACTTAATGTGCGTACTGTGACAATCTGTCTGAGTTGAGTTGGAGCCCCCTCCGCAAGGCTTATCACAGCTTTTAAAAAATATACTTCTTGCTCTCTTGCTTTGTGCTCATATAAAAGGACAGAATCATAGAAAATCCATGGTGAAAACAGGGAAATAGAGAATTACAGCAATTCTTTTCTTGGCATGTGCAGTAATAGCCCTTTTGGCTCAAGCAGATTGATTTCTGTATCCTTGTTAATTTTGATTGTACAGTTTAATGTTGTTGTAAGTGATACACCAGAGAATTGGATTAATGCTTATTTTAACTGGCTGTGTGTTCTGGTGAATTCTCAAAACTTTCAGCATCAGAATAACAATGCCTCATTTATGCTAAATATCAGTAGGTAGTGTTTTTATAGTGATTATTTCACACTAAAGGATACTCAAATGATACTTAAAAAGAAAAAAAACAAACCTGTCAGGAAACAGGAAAAAAAAAGAAAGAATGCACACGTGCATTCACAATATATCAAGTACTGAGAAAAGCAAGAAAATGATCTTTGTTGTATCCAGGTCAACCTTGTGTGTTTTGCTTTAACCAGGGCTAATTACCAATGAAAAAAATTGGTTCTTGCTGTTGGGGTAATTATAAATGCGAGTCATTGTGAGCAGGGTTTGTTATGGTGAACTTTAATTATACTTTACTTTTGCTTGGTTGTTTGGCTAGAGCAAACAAGGGCTCTGTTCTTTCAGAGAGAAAACAGAAATAAAGCTAGTGACTTCTTTCATTTCAGCACCCACACAGAGGGCACGTCCCAACGCACCAGTCCTCTGCAGAGAGCTGCTGCTTTATTTTAAATAAGCAGATTGTGGTTTCAGGCTGTGGTTTGTTAGCCCAGTTTAGAGAAAGCATTATTTGTATAACCATTAATTCCTAGCAATTAGGAATAATATTGCTGATATTATGGCATGTTTTTTGGCTGATTTATTTCATTTGTGCTCTGGAATCACTCTCTAGTCAGTTTCTTTCCTGCCCTATAGCATATCTGTCATTGATATATATGTATATGTTTTCAATTTGATACAGCATTTATCTCCTAAAGAATAGCCTGAATATAGCTTATTATTGAGGCTCAGAATCTCAGTAATGTCAGCTGCTTCTGGCTCCCAGACAGTAGCAGTTCTGTTAGGCATATCTGAACCTCTGATAAAAATGGAAGTTTTGGAATACGTGAAACATCTGAAGAGAAATCATTTGCATTACCTGAAATATGTAAAAATGTCATCTGAAATCCTTGATATATAGAGGACTTCCACAGATTGTCACTGGGATGTAAAGGACACACTTACAGTGTGAAAGATAAAATTGGTGCTCCAGACTTCATCCTGTCTAACCAGTGAACCATAGCAGGTATAGCATATAAAGATATCAGAGAAGAAGAAAATTGCAAGCAGTTTGAAAGTTAAGTTTGGCATGATTTTCCCTTGGAAAGATTTCTCTCAACATCAGGAAAATGTACCTAAAACATTTAAACTGTACTTCACTGCAACCTATTCTGAAAGCACACAAATTCTAGATGCAGAGGGGAATAATGGTCTAAACCTCTTAAGTTTCTAATTTGGAAGTATATTTTCCTATCTGTAGACTGGGAAAACCAGGGGGGTTGAGTCAAAAGTACAATGGGAACAATGTCTAACTAAATTCTCAGAGTATGTCAGGAATATTTAGGTAGGGCCAAGTAGGGCTTTGCAGGGTGGGACTGCAAAGGTCTTCAGTCTTGAGGAATCCAGGCCCTGCCAGTTTGTGTCTTACAGGAGACAAAAAATTCTATTCAGAGATGATTCATTTCATTATACAAGAAAAAGACAGAAAAAGAACTGCTTAAAAGCAAGAGACAAGTTAAGCCTGTCAACTGTACCAGATTTTTCTTGTCATTTGAGAAGAAAATCTACTTTCTAGAACCTGGGAAAGTCCAGGCCAGCTGTAACAGTTCATTTTCAGACAGTAGCTCTCGGGCTATCTCTCCATTCTTGTCCATGGGAAGGGTAGACCTGTTGTGGTTTAGGAAAGTGAACCTAGTGCCAAGGACAGGATAGGTCTTTGGAAATGCCTGATTTTGTAGTTTGATTTTTTTAGCCATTTAATGTAAATGAGAATTGCAAGTAGATGCATGTAAAATGTGAAACTGACCTCCCCAGTGAGCAGGTTTGTGTTCAGATATCCTTCCTGGCCATGTGAAATCTTCCTGATACACTGACTGCCTTGATATTTCCAAGAAAGCAGCCAGACTCTGAAACTGCAGGAGAAAATGGAAAGGTTTTGAAAGACTTATACCCTAAGGACAAAGTACTGCAGAATATTTAACACTTAAAACTTTAAAATGTTAACTTTTCAGAGTGTAATTTCTTAATTGCTTAGAGGCATAGCATAGTCCTGGTACAGCAAACTCCAATAACATATGATTGCCTTAACCTTTGTTCTGCTACACAACGGTTTATGTTTCCCTGCTGGGTGTTAATTATTTTTTCCTCAGATTTCAGGAGACGCTTTGGCATTCTGATGGGACAGGGCCAAAAATTTCAGTCTCAAGCTGGGAGGTGTATACAAAGGGTTGAATTCTGAACTGTAAATTTTAAATTAATTTCATGTAAAAAGACAAATATAGAAGTGGACTTCTACTGTAGTCTTTCTATCAATGCTGCTTCTAATTTCAGAAAGTAAATCACTCTTGGCTGCTGCTAGTGGTGTGCTTTGTTAATACTTTGTCCCACTCTAACACAGGCTGCTGTTGAACTAATTATTGCCCAAAAAAGGAAGGAAATATGAGGTTGAAGATGAAGAGCTTGATCCACAGTTTCTCTTGGACTCAGTGATAGTCTTTTCTGTTGATTCTCATGAAATTTTGGATCAGGTCTCTGACACACAAGTTGAACTTCACAAAAAAACCCAAGCCCAGTAGCTATGAGAACAATAAAAGCAAACTTCATACTTGCAGGATTCAGTGTTGTGATTAAAAAAGAACATCTTATCTGTATTTAGTCAAATGGCTTTTATTTCTTTTGTTGTTGTTCTTTTAATATTGATGCTTAGGTTTTCTCTGTTCAAAAGAAAATAATTCTTTCAGGGAGCTTAAATTAAGAAACTACTTACATATTTTAATATAATAATGCAAAATTGTTTTGGCTTGGATTAATTTTTTCCTCTTTTTTTGAAGAATTTCTGTATGATTTTAATTAATTTGCATTTTGGTAATTTTCTAGCCAAACATTTCTAGAAAACTCACTAATGTTCACTGCTTCTGTTTTTCTTTTGCATGCAGGTACAATTGGATACAATCAAAGAAACAGGATAGATACCCTGATGTATCTCCTTGCTTATCCACAAAAGCCGATGGTCAAAACAAAAACAATAGAACTGATAGATTTTGAGAAACTCCCTGCTGGACAGAATGCCACAGTTGCTGTGATGAGCTACAGTGGCTATGATATTGAAGATGCTCTTGTCTTAAATAAGGCCTCTTTGGACAGAGGTAAGATCCATCAGCTCTTTCCCACTTCTCCAGTGTGTCTTCCAATATATATTCTAATAAACTTGTTTTCTCATAGTGGTATCCTGTAATAACTTTTATTGCAGTTATGAGCATTAGATCTCCAGTTAAGAAATTGAATTTCCAAGCTGCTTTGAATGCTTTTGTTGGTTTTCTGTATGATTAGTGATTGTAGCTCCATGCATACAATAGTGTGGTGAAGCTGCCAACATGCATATAAACTTCTGAGTCTGAATATTATAAGAAAAAATTGGCTAACTTCTGACCTCAAATAAAAAAAGTGGAAATACTTGGTTTACAGAAAACATAAGGCATGAGTTAATCTGTTCTGTTGGGCTTGCTTTTTAGATGTTTACCTGAACCTTTATTCATTACTAACAGAGAGGTCTCATTATTTCCACCAGTAACAAAAGCAGTAGATGAAATTAGATTTGTGAATGTATTTAGGGAACAAATAGAACCTGAGGAAGTCTGTGCCTTTGTAAACTTGGTGTTCTGAGGGAGCAGTAGCAGTATTGCCTGCTTTCCTGGACAAAATAATAGTATGGTCTAAAGCAAAGCAATTTAGTGTTTATTAAGGGCTAAATTAATTACCTGCTTCCTTAAAAATAAATGCCAAATCTGTGGTGGAGTGTATTTTAAGTAAAAGTACATAAACACCAAAGGGAAGGTTGACTAACAGAGACCCATGTTTGTGCAGGTCTCTCCTGTCTCATTCTCTCCACACTTCTTCAGCACTTCGTGTTAATGCTGCCGAGGGCTGGAGGAGAGTTGCCTGATAACTTAGTCACTCTTCTCTCCCTTTTCTAAATAAATTCCTTTGAGAGCAGGCATAGTTTAGTGATCAAATTTGTTTTAGTTTTAGGTGGCCAAAATCAGATTTGTCCATCACTTTATTCCCGTCCCCCAACTCCCTTCCTCATAGTTGCTAGGCAGCAATAATAGTATTCCTAGACATGTATCTTTGGCATTAATGTCTGCTGCATTTAATTTATGCCTCCTTTTCTAAAACAACAACAGGCGTGATTTAAAACTGAATGTTTTCTTTTCTGGTAGACTGGTAACATTTAGAGGGAGAGCTGTGGTGCCTGTCAGGAATCACTTGACATAATCTGAAGATATAGATGTACTGTATGTGGCCACAGCCATCTTTCAAACAAACTTAAGTAATACAAGATTATTAGCAAGCCTTGCTCTTGGCTCTCTGTAATTCTAAATGTGATTGAAGTCTTTAGTATCATGGTTGGTTGCTGTACTTGGAGAGAAATTCCACAGATGATACTTTTCTCATCCAAAACCCACTTGTTTTATAACAATACATATAATTTCAGGTGAGGGGAAAAAAGAATAATGGGTTGATCATACTAAACACTCAGTTAGTACTTTCCTGGTAGACTAGCTTATACCAGCCACAAACATCAGTAAAGTTCAGATTTCTTAGAAGTCATGAAAAGAATAAGTGCTCCTCTCACCCTATTGCAGTCTCTTCTCCCATGTTACATCTTCCTGGAAATGACCAAAATCATTCAAAAGATTCAGTGATTTCAAGAGAAATGCTATGTGTGTGTGTGTGTGTGTGTGTGCAGAGATACAGAAGCAGATCAGCACAGTTCAGAACTGGACTGTAGCCCAGTGTCTAAAGAAAGGTAGCATACATGATTTAATGTTTAAGTTGTGCACCCCTGGGTATCCGTGTACAATGTTATGTGTATTCAAGCCAATGAATAATCTAACAAAAAATATTTTATATTCCATAGCTCAGATTTTATCTTGATCAGAAAGCATCTTTGAATTCCTAGGCAGATGAGTTTGTGTTCCATTTTAGGTTTTGGAAGGTGTCTTGTGTACAAGAATGCCAAGTGCACACTGAAGCGTTACACGAATCAGACATTTGATAAAGTGATGGGGCCGATGCTGGATGCCGCTACCCGTAAACCAATCTGGCGCCATGAGATTTTAGATGCTGATGGTATCTGTTCTCCAGGTAGGTCAGACTGCATGTTCACTCATGGCATGTTCATACCCAAAGTGGAAATTAATGTTCTGTTGGTATTTTTTGCACACCTTGTTTTATACTTAGTGTTTTGGGAGTTTTTTTGACTTGAAGTCAACAGTAATGTGATGGAAAATTTTAAAAAGTTAGTTCCTGAAAGCAGCATGTTCCCAGTCATTAGGGGGACTTCTGTACTTGAAATCAGTAGTTTTATATTTAAGTAGAAGAGTGAGGTTTTTAATAAGGTGAATCTACTGAAGCATTATAATTTGTATTCTTATGTTCCCAAACTTGCAAGCTTTTAATACTGTAGTTTTTCCCTGTTTGTCTGTCATGTACTGTTGTTTTCTTAAGGATATAGATAGACTCCTTTTTATTTTGATTTCATGCATCAAAATCCCCTAGCAAGATGTCAGTTAATGCAGTTTGAGGAAATAAAACCTTATGGTTTTAACATTTTAGAAAGATGTTTGCAGAGAGATAAATAAATAGAAACGTAAAGAGAGGTGTATAACTTTCCAGTGGTAATAGATTTGAGAAAGAATCCTCCCATACTATCATACTTGAGTTAGAAAATGTCTTCATAGATCTGCTAGGATCTAGTAAGAAAGGTGTTTTAAAGGGCACCAAACTTAATTCCCTTCTAGTAACACAATTGGGTCAGTTTTGCTCTTTAATCCATCACAATGGAGCTTTCAAAGTTAATTAAGGGAAAAAAAGGCAAGAATCTTCTGAAGTGTTAGGATAGATAGGACCAGGCTGGACTCCAGAGTGAGACTGTTCTCAGCATGTAGGTAAAAACCTATTTGAGATAGTTCATGTGGACAGAAGAGACACAGGCTGAAGTTCAGTGTAATTTAGTGGAGGAGGTGGGAGGTAGATACTTGGTGTGCAGTTGTATCATTTGGCGTCCTCCTGATCTGGTTTTCAATGTAAAGGGCAGGATAAGGGAATGGAGCAGGGAAAAGCTGTATGCGACACCAGTGTCAATAGAAATATCTAAATACAAGGTGAGATTGACAGTAGTCTTGCACAGCTCACTGTGGAATGATGGACTGTCCCAGATTTAGGTGTGAATTTTTAAATTTTGTCAGTTCAATCATGGCAAAGTGTTCTATGTTAATTTTCTCCATGCTTAGAGCAGATGACTGTGCAGACTTCTGACACAGGGTATGTTGAATAGCTGTACTCGTAGTGCACCCAGCATGCAAGCTGTTCTGCTTTAGTTTACCAAAGAAAACTGGTTTAGTGATTCCTTTAATATTCAATATTTAGTAAAACAACAGAGAATACTTCTTGGGCACGTTCCTCCCAGTTTGTCTTCCACTTTACTCTTTTTTTGAAAAGCTTAAAATGTATTTCTAACACAGGCAGATACATTTTCATGGTGCTTTTTCCTTTTGCTCTCTGTAGGTGAAAAAGTAGAAAATAAGCAAGTTCTTGTGAACAAATCTATGCCAACTGTGACCCAGACACCTCTGGAAGGAAGCAGTGTGCCTCAGCAGCCGCAGTACAAAGATGTGCCAGTAACGTATGTTGCAATATAACTTTAGAGCTGGGCAAATTACATGTAGGAAAGGTGTTTGAGAAAATACTCAATTCTAGAAAATTCCCATCTTCAACTATAACTATATTTGGGTGTTGTTTGTTTAAGTGAAGATCAAGAAATTGGCAATATATGATGAAGCTTTTGCTGTCAAGAAGAGCCCGTGTGAAAAAAAAACATACCTTGTCTTTTACAAGTTCATCTTAATTCTCCCTTAGTTTCTATTGCAGCTCTTGAAACTCTTTCAGAAACATGCTGTACTCTGCAACTTGTATGTAAATATGTATTTAAATATAAAATCCTTTTTCCTCTTATACAAGTTCCATAAAGATTATAGTTTGGTCAGGAGCTTACCAAGACAGAGATAGTTGTCTGTAACTTGTGTTTGGTTCACAGAAGTAAAAGCAATGTTTTGGCTTCTTTTGCTAGCTACAAAGGTGCCACTGATTCATACATTGAAAAAGTAATGATTTCATCAAATGCAGAGGATGCTTTCTTGATTAAAATGTTGCTGAGGCAAACCAGACGTCCAGAAATTGGAGATAAATTTAGCAGTCGTCATGGACAGAAAGGTAAAGGACACATTTAATAAAAATAAATTCATGTTGTATATGCCTTCTATATGTACATAATGTATGTTTCCATTGATTGGTTAAGATATCTTATGAATACAGTAATAGAAGGCCATGTCAGGTTTTTTTTGGTTAAGTTCACCTAATTTAGCAATGATCAACAACTCTCAGTTGATATACGACTCTGGAAAATTCAGTAGTTGCCCATTTTAAACAGGTACAGTGTTTTTGAGGTTTGGTTGGGTCTTTTAAGTTAGTTTGGACTTAGGGGATAGATTTGTCAGTGGGTTGTCAATAGAGAGATTGGAGAGGTTCTGAACGCACAGAAAAAATGAGAGATGAAACGGGATGTTTGCATGTCTGTGCAGACATTCTGCTCTAAAGACAAGACTGCAGGTAGATAACTCAGAACCATGGTGTAAAAGAGAGGCAAATCAGGAACACAACTAGGAGTGTACCAGCAGAGAGCAGAAAGAAGGGGAATGTTTTTAAAAAGACGCCTGGGACGTGATCTGGGAACATCTCTGGATCTTAAGACCAAAACCTGAAAATGAGTACCTACAGGAAACTGCTTGGTGGCATATAGTTCTCAAGTTTTAATGTTACTAGGAAAATGAAAATCAGGAACCTATTTCCATGTCTGCTGAAGAACAGCAGTGAACTCCCTTGACCTGAATGTGAAAAAATACAAGTCTCAGATCATCCTCTGAATCTCAGAGTTGGAAGGTGTGGAAAAAAGGGTATTAAGAAAGATGTGACCGAAAACAGTCTGACTGTACCAACTTAAAGGCATGTTTTGTTCCCATTGGTGTCAGTGTGGGACAGGTTTTGACATGTTCTGGTCATCCTATACACTTGGGAGATGGAGATTTGTAATATTTGAAGCATGACCTTCTGTGTTAGTGTATGTGCCGTGTTATTACCTGAGTGTTGTAATCTCATTACATTTTTAAGTCTTCTTATTTTGGCTTGAGAGCATTACTTGGTCTCTTGTCAGATGTGATGGAAAAATGAAGAGGTTGATATTACCAATCCTTCCCATTACAGCCCATACACCCCTTGTGATCCTGTCCTAATAAATACTGGCCAGGTATAAAGGCTGTGTCCCTGTCGTGAGATGCAGAGCTAACCACAGTAATCCACCTTGCTGTGGTGTCCAGGTTAGGGCATCAGGACATCTGCCTACAGCAGCCCTGTCAATCAGAAGAGGTGAAATGGGTGCAGAAAGCAGTAGTTGATCACAGTGACAGCTGTTTTCAGATGCTGCCTCAAGTTTGTGTGTTATCTATAAGAATAGTCTACACAGCCTTTCCCAGTACATCCAGCTCTCTGCAAGTTCACCTGTAATTCCACAGTGTCTCTCCACACACCCACAAAACTGGCTTTTTATTTCCTCTGTGTTCTCAGGAAATATTTCCATTGTTTCTATTGTTATTAAGGAAGAGAAACTCTTCAGATAAGCAATGAAATGTTTTTCTTGATTGTATTTTCAAGATGGTTTTTCATCTAAAAATACAAAGCTATTCCCACTGAGTTCCCCAATGATTTGGGAGTTGGTATTGAAGGTTTCAAAAAGTAAAGCAGCAGCATTGTGTACTTGACTGTCCTTAAAAAACTGAGTCTAGTTCTTGTGCTGCAGCTTTATAGGATAGTTAAGGTACGTGAGGGGAGGAAGACCGTCAGCTTCAGCTGCAACCCAAAGGAGTTGAGCAATTTGAATGTTTAACTGCCCCATTCTTCCTTTTCTCAGGGGGGGATCCTCCTTCAGGAAGATTTTGTGTAGATTCTCTTTCAAATATTTTTCCAGTCTCCTACACAGTGAAGTTGTGCAGTGCTTAAAAAGTTAGGAGCACTGTTAGACCAAAGCCTGTTTCTTGAAACAGTTTCAGCTTTGTCTAGTTAAACCCTTCTCCTTATAAGTGCTATGCCGTATTTTAGCAGCAAGTTATTGTATAACAATAAAATCAGTATTGTGCAAGACAAATTTTCTTATTAGAATTAAAAAAAAACCCTCCAAAATATATTAAAGAAGCTTCTTTTGTAATCGTGATAAATATTTATAGGGATTTGCCTGAAAAATTAATGTAGGTTAGTTTTTTCTCCTAGTTTGGGTTATTAATGTGTACCTATGAGAATAGTTGAACAGAATGCAAATGAACTTTTTTTTTCATATCCTTTCAAAAATTAAATAAAAAGAGAGCCCCACAAATATAGAGCCATGAGTGGAAGTGGAAGAACGACAGAAAGAAACAGAATTTTGTCAGGCAGGCTGTAGTATGGCTTTAGGGTGCTAAGGACCTTCCATATGACAAAATGCACCTAAGACATCTCACAATGTAGAGCAAGCAACCACCTGTGGAAATCCCATGGTAATGAAAAGCAATATTCAGAATTATTCAGAATGCTGTAGGAAACTTTGAGGGCACCCATAATTATACCTTGCATTACATCAGGTTAACAATGCCTGATCACCCTGTATCTGTGCTTGGGATACTAATAATAATAGTAATAGTAATAATAATAGTAGTAGTAGTAGTAATAATAATAATAAAAAAACAAAAAAAACCCAAGCCCATCAGTTATTTAGAATGTGACTTTCAACTTGATTTTGGAGATATGAGTGGGAACATTGCAACAGTTGTGCTACAGAGTTTGCAGGCATGTGCCTGTTGCTGTCACATACATCAATCTGTAGTAATCCCTTGTGATCAGGGGAGTGATCATATTCCAAATTATTACATCTTACTAGGACTCATAGCCCTCCTGGCAGTAAACCTCTCAGTTCCTGTAGTGCATTATAGAAAAAGATGTTACAGTAAACAGGAGAAAGGAGGAATATGGAGGAGATACATTTGATAGATACTAAGAAAAAAAATACTGAGAACAGTGCAGTTCACTGTTTTGCAGTTTAACTATACAATGAAGCAGCCAATACTGTCAACAACAGAACTGGAGAAAAGACATGAAAAGGAAAATCTCCTTTGATAGCTTTTTAAAGTTACATCTGGTATCGTCCTCTGACATCAAACTGGGGAAGGATCAATCATATCAGAAGAATATAGACAATCGTGAAGCAGAAATCATAGTACTGACCATTTAATTTTTTCTATTGAGAGCATTTTTAATTAGCTTTGAATTTTTTCTCTCATCTTGGTCTGAATGTAGGCAATTATGACTTCAAGTTTAATTTGTGACTGTTAGCTTTAAACCTGCCATAGGACCATTTAAACATATAATGAGCTTAAACTACCAAATACCTTGGTTCAGTGAGAAGGAGAAAAAGCATATGTCTGTCTCCATTGTCAGTCTTTTTTGTGAAATAGTTATTTTCAAGAAGGGATACATGAACATGAGATTTGATTCCATGGAATCACTGTAGTAGTGGGTTTTAAATAATTAAATATGTGTAAAATAAGAGAGTGCACAAACCATGTCTCAAACTTTTTGATGGTCTTTTTCCTGTATTCCAAATTGATTTGTATTTCAAAGCTGTGCTTTGTCACTGGAGCAGAAGGAAGCAGAGTAAGGGAATTAGAAAGTGTCTGGGATACAACAGATTAAATCTCACAAACCAGCTTTAGCCTTTTGTTACAGAAAAGCCTTTCGTTAAATATGTAGGTAGATTTTGTAGGCCTCTGTAATAATACAGATCTATGTCACTGCCTCTGTATTTGCTGCCTTCTTTGTGTCCTCTCACATGTCAACACGGTATTGGCAAGGGTCACCACTTCTGGCCTGTCCACCACACCCTCTTTTCACGCGAGCCCATGTTTTAAGTACACTCCTTCCAAGCTGCCTGTAAAAGGTTGCCTGTCCTTCAAGGCTTCTCAAAAAGAAACATATGGGGAGATGGAAAAAAACCCAAACAAATGAGGCCACCATGTTGTGTTCTGAAATGCAAATATTTTGCTTTATTTTAATATTCATCTTCAAACTGGATGTTGCAGTAAGATCTTTGGGACTGGCATTGTCTCTATAGTCTGTAATGTCATTAAGCTCCTGATGACTCAGAAATAAATCCTCTCTGGTAGTTATATGTTTATCCTGAACTGCAGAACTTAGTTTTCACTGTATTGCATCATATATTTTCCAGAAGGATAAAAAAAATCTTTTTTTTTGGGTAATTATTTTGTTGTTTTAATCTTGTATTCTTCAAGCAAAGTCACTTTTCAAAGCACAGAAGGCAAAGGGATTGTTAAGCTAAAGAAGCTTCATCTGAGTTCCATACAAAGTAAATTATTATATTTCCAGATTTCCTCTTGCTTTGCTACAAGTCACAATGAGGAAAAAGTTGGGCTCCTTTGATGTGAAAAAAAGCAATATAACACTTCTCTGAAAGAACATTTCTCAGTCTCTCATGTGAAAAAGGATTAACACCTCCAACAAAGGTCCTGTAGATCACAGAACTAAGCAGCAATACTGAACAGTATTCCTGAGGAGTGGAAAAACTGTATTTAAGCAAGAGATTGTTTGAACTGGCAAACAGAAGCTTTTTAATAGCTGAAGATCTAAGATAAAGGATTAAACCTTTCTGAAGTATCTGCACTTAAACAACTCTAAAGACAAGGAAGCAAGTTTAAATTCATGAAAGATCGTCTTTGTTTTCCTAAATGAACCGTGTTCTGTAGTGTCAAAACAAAATCCATTCACTGCATTATCAACTACATAAACTTCATGACAATACCACTCATCTACCTAAGCCTGACCTTGCTTACTTTTTGAAATTTTTATTAGTTTGAGCATCTGCCATCTGCTTTCCTGACTTCATAGTGAGATCAACTTATCTTTTTCCTTTTAATGGGCACTTGTACAGTACAGATAAGCAGAACATTTAAAATAAAATGCTGGTTTTAAATGGCTACTTGTGTAATTTCCCCCCATGTTACAAGTCAGAATTAGTGCTTTATCTCTAATAGAACATCAGTGGGTTTATAGTAATTAAATGGTTGAAGTGGCATTAAAAAGAATTCGCTCTTAATCGACTGCAGGAATGTGGGATGATTAGTAGTTATTAGGCATCAGGGAAGGTAGGGATTTCTTGCCATATTTTTATCTTCAGAAGTTGTATTTGACAAAATGTCAGAATGCCATTAAAACTTCCCATTCTGTTTTTTCTATTTATTTTTAACAAAACTGCTGCTTAGCTCGCTGTCTTAAGAAGAAAATTACAGCATTTTTTATCTCAAGCAGCAAACAGGTAACCTTCTGACCTTTTCAGTAAATCCTCAACTGAACCTCTGAAATTAGGGTGATTTAGCATTTTATGGCACAGAATAAAAATCTCTAATTCTGTTTCCAAATAGTGTATCCTGAACACACATTTTATTAAGCTCTTGACTCATTCAGCCATGTGTATTTTGTAAAGTTCCTATGGTTATTGTTTTACAATAGCTGCTTCCAGAAGCATTGTAAGGGTTTCAATTAATCAGCTCTTTGTGTGCTTCAGACTATGCAAATTTATCACATCAGACCATTCAGCAGCTCATGGGAAAGCAGTGTACAAACTGTATTGTCTTCTAGCACCTCCTCTCATTTAGAGTGATGTTTTTAATAAGAAAACTAATCAAGTTTACTTATGCATTATTTATCTGTTAATTTTAATTCTGTTCTTTACCTCTTATGTCAAATGGGATATAGCGAGTGATATGATAGATCAGTGAATGATTCAATATTGAACAAAGCTTATGTGATGCAGCACTTTTTTCTTCTAGACTTCTTTTATGCTTAGTTAGCCAACACAGTATGTAATTAGAGAGTTTTGAAGCAGCTGTACATTTTTTGTTCAGCCTTACTAATTTTTGCAAATCTGTCACTTGTCTGTAACATACACCGATGTGTTACAGCTACAACTTTGCTTAATTATGTGATGTTGTCTTATTTCTCAAGAGTATTTCCAAATTCTGCTAAATCTGGCAAAGCTAAAATAGATGCCTTTCAAGTCAGTTTTAGCTCTTTTACCACCGTATCATTAGAATGAGTAAACAAGCTCGTTTAGTAATGTGCTTCTTTTTATCTTGCTGATAGAAACTGGTACTGCTGCTGCTTCTATTCACGTCGTCTCCTTTGCTCTCTAATGTCCCTCCTGCTGGTAGTAATTAGTTTTCTATATTAGGTTGTTTTGACTTATTTGATGATTTTTTTTTTTTCCATTTGGCATGTGTGTGTATAGAAGGCACCTTAACGTAGCCTGGTGAAAAACTTTCCCATACTGTTGTGTTCTGTCCCTGCCCCCTCCCGGCCGCCCCCCTTCCCCCTCTGCACAGAACCGAGCTTTTACAAGTCTGGCTGTGCTCGTGTTTGTCAGCAAACTGTAAAAGCAACCACACGAAAGGTACCAGCTCTGGAAACCTGAGTTTCTCCTGATTAGGAAAAGAAACTCAGACAAAAGTACAGGGGCAAGGGGCTCTTTATGCTGTCAGTGCCTTGTGGAGGTACATGGGTTTGAGATGCTGTCAGCATTGATGCTGATAGCGTGTGTGGGGCTGGGGGCTATTGTGCATAGTCAGGGGGCTGTCATTTATTGGCTGCCATACAATAGCATTGAAAAACACTGCCTATGGCTGTTTTATACTTGCATGTTAAACCACTGCGGATGTCTGATTTAAGGTTATTCTAATTTAAACTGTTATCCTTGCATTAAGCTTCCATGCTTATTAATCCACTTTTTCTTCTTTTCTGATATTGTAAAATAATTCCTTAGAATTTTCTCTGATTTTCCTTCTAAGGTGACATTGCAAAACTGATACACAGAAGAAGTTTTTTTCTAGAATTTAATTTGTTTTCAATGGAAAAGAAATTAGATGTAGCAAGTTACCAGATGCTTTCTTGCTCCAGCACATAACCATCTTGTTAATCCACATTAAAAAACACTTTCTGTTTTTTTGTTTTGTCTGCAGACTTTTCTGGTTGTTAATACTTGATTCTGGTCCCAGATGAGGCACCAGAATGCATAGGTGAAAGCCATTCAGGCCTACTGCAGTATGGAATTTAGTCTCAAGTTGAATTGCTCAATTCCAGATGCAGTATATAAAAATTGAGAGAGGAGGGGAAGTGGATGAAACCAAATTATTTCATGTGTCCTTTATGAATGCTGGGGATCAATTTTCATGTGATGTCTAAATCAGTAGAAATTAAGAAATACTAACTTCTAGTAAGAGCCACAGAGCAAAACAGCCTCCTAGTTTGAGTGTGCCTTATTTATGAATATTGTATGGGGTGCAGTTGCTCAGTTATGAGATGCAGTTCGTACTTGAACGGGGTTTGGAACTTGAGGCTGTTTTAAATCCAGCCTCCTCTCCTTCACTGTTTTATTAGCCGGTTGCAAATGATAATTCCACTCACATGAATTAATTCAACTGGTCACTTTTTTTGCAGCTGTTGGCTTGCCTGGTACTGCTCTGCTGAAAAAAAAACAAAAAAAAAAACGGAGTAGCAAATTCAGGAGCTTAAAGTGTAGATCTGCAAGCATTTGTCTCCTAAAGAGCTTCTGAAAACAAGCAATTGCAAAATGAAATCAAGTTTATATTTTGAATGAATTGCACTTTCTTTTAGAAGTAGCATTGTATATAGGAAAAGTATCTTTCAGCTTTTTTAACAGTTGAATGAACTTTCTTAAAACATAGGGTAGGATAGCTTCTCTGTCCTCTTAAATACACACAGACATGCTATAGATCTGCTACAGGCTCAGCAACTTCTTAAAATACAGAAGCTTAGAACTGAGGCTTTATAGCTTTCCCTTTTTTTTTTTTTTTTCCCCTTTTTTCTTCCCCTCTGTAAAATAGAAACTTTATAAATGGCCTAGTGAGCTTCACATTTCTGGATTCTGTCTAAATATTTTGTTTTTAACTTCTAAGCTCATTATGCTGTCTTTGTGTTAACTTGTATTAAAATCTGTCAGCTATGACTGGTCTCATAACCACAGTCAGCGGACCAGAATAAGTTAATTATTTACTTGTGTCACTAGTGCTCTTCATCTAATGAAATGCACAGCTGTGTTAGATCTGCAGTTGGGTGTGTAGGTCCTATTGTTACACAAGTCAGCGGAGGGTAGAAGCCGCTATGATGGAGAGCCCTCAGTTCTTTCTGCTGTTCTGCCTTTCTGTGTCGATTTCATGGATCTTTTATCATTCACTTTCACACAAAACAAACAACACAGTGGCTGTCTGCTATGGGAACCAGCTTGGCATATAAAAGGTTTTCAGAGCCTAAAGTAATTTTAAGTTAGCTAAGATTTAATTCTTGGCTTACAGGTGCCGTGAAGTCCAGATGCAACCTAATGCTTTCTTAGATGTAAATGCAAATAAGGCATTATTTATTATACACATATAACAGAATATTTATGTATAAAATTTTAGGACAAAAAAAAAGCTGTGCAAGGAAGAGATAGTGGGTTGGTTTGGGTTTTTTTGTTTTTTTTTTTTTATTTTCAGTAAATGATTGCTGCTTGGCAGGGAGGGCTAGAAGGATGTTATTGATTTATCACAGTAGAACAATGAAAATTAGTTTCAATAGGTTTAAAAACTAAATGCAACAGCACACACCCCCTTGCCCCAGACAGTTTTTTTTCTGCTCCCTTCCCCCATACTTACCATTCTCATTCTATTAACTACTGTCCCATACACCTATCCCTGTCTTGCTTGGACAGTGGAAGAGGAGCTCCCTCCTGAGCAGACGCCGATATCCCCCTGTGAACTGGCTGGTCGGGGATGCCTTTTTAGGGATGTAACCAGTACCCTCAGTCTTCCAGGAGCCCCCTCCACTCCAGGACTGTTCCCAAAGCATGCTCTGGCACAGTTGCAGCAGGCTGATCTCAAATAGCTTGCAGACTTTTTCAGCTCTAAGGGCCTCTGGAAGAAATTGTCCAGCTGAAACAGTAGCTTTGGTTCAAAGGAGTATGGGCTTAAGCAGCTGCATTTTAGCACCTGAATTTGAATGTTAGATCTCTTGATCATTTATAGCTGAAGTATGTCGATTTGCAGAATTCACTGTAAAAATTGTAAGAGTTGGAAGGAAAATTTTGAGATGCATGATGGACATTTAAAATGAGTTTTCATGTTTCTGTTTATTCTTTCTGCAATATTTTTAGACTTTGGAGGGTTTTCTTTGTTTTCTATCTGTTACTGATAGAGACTGACAAAAGCTTCCAAAACTTTTAAAGGGACAGTTTGTGTTCATGGACTGACAAAGTTAAAGCAGTCGGTGGAGTGGATTGCACTTTTTAATTCATTGATAGCAATCTTTGCTCAGCAAACTGATGTTACCTGAAAAAAATCTTAGTTGTTTTTTATTTATTTTCCCCTACTTCTCTTTTCAGTCCCTGTCAAAGTCCAATTTTATATGTTTTTGTTGACAGTATTTAGCAAAGATACATATGATAAATAAATTTCAAATCATTAATAATTCTGCATGTCCAAAGATACAAGCTAAGAGGCCACATTTCTGAGTGTTTTTCTTTCAGGAAATTATAGCATCATCTTTAAAAACGGTGTCTCTCTTGAGATATTCCAGTCTGATTGGACAGAAGTTTCCAGTTGCTTCTGAAAATAGGATCCAAAGCTTTATCCCCTAATTTGCTAACACACAAATCACTGGGAGCATTATGCTAATATATTAGCTATTGTATTAGTTATATGCTAATTTTGCCAGTCCTGTCACAAGGGCTGTCTTCCAGTGTGCAGGTTGGGAGTACTGGTCATGGTAATGAATCTGGGTGAAAAGTGATCCATGAGAAAGAGAGGAGGAGGAAAACACTAAAGAAAATCTGGTGATGAGCATTAGCCCTGCTGGTGGTTTGCTCTTTTGTGAATTGAAATGTTTTCTCTTCTGCAGGGGTGTGTGGACTGATTGTTCCTCAGGAGGACATGCCATTTTGTGATACAGGGATCTGCCCAGATATCATAATGAACCCTCATGGCTTCCCGTCGCGTATGACGGTGAGTGCTGCTGCCCGATTCACAAGACACTGTCCCCCAAGAGGGAAAGAGAAGGGATCACCCACTAGAGACAATAAAAGCTTGAAGCATGATTTCACTGGGAATATTCTCCAGTCATCATGCCATGCACTTGATCTGCTCTGAGTAGCCAGCCCTCTGTTTCACTGTTTTGAAACATCCTACTGTAAAATAAGTAAGGTTGCAGGCTCTTTGTGCATCACTCTGTTTTTTTTCTGTTTCAAGCTGAGAGGGATGCAACTGAATACTTCACTTGCATCCTTGGTGTTTGAAAATTTCTTGCTCTTCCTTCCCTATTGCCTGGGCCCATTAATCTGGCTGAGGCAGACTGTAAAGTGAAGGTTGAAGAGGAGCTTCAATTATAGATTCAGACCTATAAAACTTCTTAAATTATGCACACCTCATGGAACTGAGGTGAGTCTATCAACTGTGCTGCAGGGTCACTGCCTGCTAAATACCTCACTGCCTGCCCTTTATATGGGACCTCAGTGCTTCCTTCACACAACCTCTGATCTTTCTTCCTTTGTTAACATCTTCCCTTCTGTTCCCCCTGCTGCAGTGCAGCGACTCAATCTCCAAGGCTGTTTCCTCCAGCAGAAGGCCACACAGATCATGCCCATTTTTCAGACAACTGGAAGAAGTGGAACTGCCTTGGGACATTAAAGGCATTCCCAGACCTTGCGAAGAGTCCAGTTTTCCCCCTTCACACAAGAGCATTCTCAGTTGGTTCTTGGGCTTCTTCCACTCCTCCTGTTGCATGCAACAGGCTGCCATCTGCCTAGCTTGTGCTGTGACCTATCCAGCAATGTGCCTGTCCTAATGACCAGGCTGCTAACTCTGCTTTTCTTCCACAGGTAGGAAAGTTGATTGAACTCCTGGCTGGAAAGGCTGGGGTGCTCGATGGCAGATTTCACTATGGAACGGCTTTTGGCGGCAGTAAAGTTAAGGATGTGTGTGAAGATCTTATTCGCCATGGTTATAACTACCTCGGGAAGGACTATGTAACATCTGGGATCACTGGGTAAGAATCTGCTCTTTAGATTTAGGTGTTTCAGGAGAGTGGGGAAATCCTGTTGAGACACATCTGAAAAAATTTTCTCATGTCTCAGAGCTTGGGAACTTTCTCTTGTTTGCAAACTGCTGTGAGATTGAGAAAGGAGGCTGAAGAGTAGTGTGCATTTTTTTATTTCTTAGAAGCGTTTTGTGGATCCACATTTTAAAAGTTGCTGGTGTATGTGTGGCTGTAATGGGAATGGACCTTGTGGTACATATAAAAATTTCCCAAGTTTTATTGCCTGGCAAAAAAAGCTAAAATCAAGACTTTCTTGCTGAGAGATAGAAAAAAATTCAGATTTCTGTCAGCAGAAAGTCTTACATATGCTTGGAATCAGATAAGCATTTTCATGTTGACTTTAATGGTACTGTAAATATGGATTTGGAGGCAAGCATCTGTTCCTTGGGAATATTCTGTGTGTGCTCTTTTTTCCTTTTTTTTTTCTTTCGATTACACAATGTTTCAGTCTGGCATAATACTCTAATCTGCAAACTTCCTGCTGTGTTGATCAGACTGGCTTCTGAGACACGGAGTTCAAAGAACATAAGATAGTTTAGGAACAGGAAAAGGCCATATGGCTTCACATGCCTACCCTTCCAAAATGTATCTTAATCCTACCTTCCTGCTATTTTTATTATCCTTCCAGTCCCCTTCTTCTCAAGGAGCAAGTTTAGGTCTCTTTGGCAAGTTTTTTTTATATACTTTTTATTTTAATTGCCTTTCCTACCAACTTATTCCATATGTTGCTTCTCTTTTTGTTTTAGAGATACGATTTTGTTTTCTTTATTCACTGCATATTCCATAAATTGTATATCAAGTATCCTGGCCCTTGAAACACTTCCTGTTGGTATATTATGGTGGCTTTTAAAAAATCTGACTAATCATGTTTCCTAGGGAGAATATAATCATCTATCTAACTCTAAAATCCCCCATCCTCAAACTTCAACTTTGTAGTGCCCTATTTAGAGACTTTGTTTAAGGACACTGATACTTTTTTCCAAGCAAATTACACAGGCTTAATCTGTTTGTTATGAAATTTGAAGGCAGATTTCATAAGAATGTGAAAGTTTGCAGATTTCAAATGTCTAATGAAGTTTTATTATTTTCTTCACTAGTCAACTTTTGGAATAACACTGCATAATGTCAGTAATGATTGAAGTATAACACTTTCATCTCCTGCTTGTTTTACATTGCACATACCTTTTTTGTATTTTTTTCAAACAAATTAATGGCCATGCTGAGTCTGTCAGTGTTAAATCTGGTCATTCTTAATGCTGAAGGTGGTAGCTGGGTGAAGGTGGCAGCTGGGAAATGACTGAGTGCTTTTCACTGGTTGCTTTCTGATCTTTAGGTGCTTACACTCTTCTTACAGTTGGGGGTGTTTTAAACACAGAAATCTTTAGCCATACTCCAGCTCATAGAATGGAGTAACGAGTAACACCCTCTGTATTGCTCACAGATGTTCTCAAGCTGATGGAAGTGCCTAAATACAGTTCTCAAGAGCCTTTTTCCAGCTCATCTGAGCCCCCAGTGCCAGCCAGGGCAGCAGTCTTGTCCCCTGGATGCAGCTGCTGGGCAGTGCTGCCAGGCAGCTGCGCTGATGCACAGCCACTCCAAGAGGGCTTTCACCCTTCTGGGCCTTGGTGTTGCCTCAGGGTGCTGTGCAGGGAGAATTAGTGGATGAGGACATTGTCAGGCTGGTAGTGTTCCAGTGCTAAGCAGTTCTTGCAAATGGGAATTTCTTAAAGTGCTCCTACAAAAAGGATCTTCTGAGCATTTTTGCTATAGGTATTCGCTTACATATATGCTTACCTTTATGAAGGAATATAAAGAGAAGTACCTTAAGTCACTCTTCAGGGTCTGACATGTTTACAGTCCTTCCTGGCTACTGATGACACTGTTGAAATGTTCCTGTAGATAGGGGAGTGACTTACCATGGTACAGCTGAAACAGGTACCTGCAGCTATAGGAGCATGTCTGCACAACGTGAGACCAGAGTTCAGGAGCTTGTTCCTTGCTGCAGTGGAGACAGCAGCATGTGGTGCTGGCAGTGTGCTGTCCCTGTGTTCAGAAGATTTCCCTGGAAAGGGTTTCAGACTGATTGCCCAGAAAATTTTTCTAGGACTCATCATTTCCAAATTAGTTCACATTTCTTGTGTACATGACACCTTTGCCTCTTTTAAGGTAGATGTGGATAACTGTGCTAACTGTGGATGTTGGTTTTGTTTTGTTTTTTATTCTTTCAGGGAGCCTTTGGAGGCATACATCTATTTTGGTCCTGTGTATTACCAGAAACTGAAGCACATGGTGCTGGATAAAATGCATGCAAGAGCTCGAGGACCCAGAGCAGTGCTCACCAGGTATTACAGGCTAAGCACAAAATTCTTGTGTACATGCAGAAGTGTGCCCAGCTCACCCATTGCTATAAAACAAAGTTTTTGACCTTGTGATATTTGGTACAAAGTGCTATGTACTGTTATTATGTTGCAAACTAAAAACTCTGACAGTAGACTGTGGCAGGAGGTTGTTCTGAGGGTTCAGGTGTGCTCTGTGTGGTTCAAAACTTGAGTTTGCTTCTCAAACTTCTGCTAGCAGCTGGTAAAAACAGCATCTCTGATTCACAGTACATGATGTGGGCCCTTCATGTCAAATAGCTCATATCATAGGTATTTTAAGAGGTTTGTTTGTTCTTTAAAATTTTTACTTTTACAAAATCAGTTCTGAGTAGAAGGAAAAAATTTTAAATTACGGTCTAATATTTCAACACTTTGAGAAACCCTTTGGGGAAATTGAAGCCTCCTGCTTTTACTGGTGCTACTTACTTTTTCTCCTTAAAGCCAAGGTCTGTGTCTGCTTGCACTAATGTTCAAAGTTTCTGATATTCCTTGCTCACAAAAAAGAGTTTAGTGGCACAGGCTTTGCTTTGGGGATGCTTCTGAGGGGTCATTTATTTCACTTCTCTCCATCACAATAGGATTGTTTACTGAAACTTGCCAGAAAACTAAATTCCAGCTAATCTTGTATATTCTACTGAAGATTATTCCAAATGTCCTTTTGCCAGTTTTTCTGGGTTACTATGTAGACTGTTACTCCTCCCCTCCTGCATGGTGGTACTCTTCTTTTTGACCAGTCAAACCTTGTACTGATTCTGACCATAGAAATCTTCGTACTGTTTTTAAGATGTAAGCACGGTCGTGTCTATCCCACCCTTACTCTTCCCTATAACAAGCATGATTTGTATTCTTTAATTCTTCATTTATTTTTATGCCTCTGATCATGTGAGGTTGATCATGTGCGGCTGCACAACAGCCCTTACTAAGTGCAGCTTCTACCTACTGATGTGCTGTTAGAGAAAGGAGGGGCAGGTCTCTGCTGTGCTTGACACAGAGGTGTCTTCCTCTTTGGCTTTTCATTGCTTATTTCCTTTCCAACCTCACACTGGCTATAGGACAAATTTGTGCTTTCCATGGAAATAAATACCAGTGGTTGAACTGGGAAGGAAATCAAGAAAAGATTTTGTAACTTGTCTGAACTTTTTCATCAACCACATTGATGGAGGTGTAGCACAGCCACAGCTGCTTGCCTATATGAACATAAATTATATTCCCAAATATGTTGTCTGCCCCATTTTCTGTTCTTCAGTGTGTTAAGCATTATATTGGTCCTTCATATGAAAGTGAAAACTCTCTGTTCTTAGCTAACAGTACACAGGATTTACTGGAACTCCTGGCTTACCTAAATCCCTTGATCTGCCTTTGTATTGCCTCCTCAACTTCTCAGCTGTTTAGAGATACTGAATTTAAATGAAGCCTAAATACCAAGTCAATGTAATGTTTATATGTAAAGGTGAAGGTTGTGTGATTTCCCCCATCCCTTACTTTCTGCAAATTCTTTGTTCAATCAGTAGCATCATACTGTGTAATTAGGGCTCCTTATTTGACTTTCAGGAAAGCTAGTGGATGTTCAATTTATGCTGCCTCTTGACTATTCTTTCAGGATTTTTTTTTTGTCCTCAAATAATTAAACATTTGTTACTGCCATTGCCTCTGCTGAGAGAGTCGGCATTGCCAGCTTTCATATTCGCTATTGTTTTATCATCCATTGCACTTCCTGGAGAGTAGATTGCATCTAACATTCTTTTTTGATTTTAAAAGTAATCCTGTAGCAGCTTCCAACGTGGAATTTGGCCGTCATTGTCTTGAAATGCATTTTATTATATATCAAATGTACCCTAAGTGACAGAGCAAAGCTGTATTTCCATCTGGAATAAGGCAGAATACTTGAGCTTCTTGATCATTACTGATTCTAGCTATTGTTCTGATTAAAACAAGACTTTGCAGAATTGCAAAGCAGCACTCTTTGTCAACGTGGTCAAAAGCCACCAGGATGTTGCCCTCTGGAGTGGTACTCTAAATGAAATACAATCCTTAATTTCAATGCCATGGGTAGGTGACAATTAATCTGTAACACAGTTCTATATGTGGTGTTGCCCAGATACCAGTCCTGCTGAATCATTTTAGTAGATAAGCTGCTTTTAATTCTCCTTATAAGTGAGCAATATGAGCTTTCTGCATGTGTAGTTGTTTTGATGGACATGGTCAGAGCTGCCACCTGGGTGTCTTTGGACATGTCAGATGTGCCAGGTCCTGTTGTGATGCGGGGGAGCAATGGGACAGACACCACTCAGAGCTCCCCTCTGTGCTCTGGGGCTCTGTGAGCATGGGATGCCCCCCTCCTCCTCCTTCAGGCAGTGTTTTTTAGGTAATGTTCCACTTCTTGGAGATCAGTGCTTCAGCAAACAACTCCATTCAAACTAATCACTAGTTTTCCTTATCAGGCACAAGGGAGATCTGCTGAGACCATGGAGGTAGACTTATTTCCCCCTCTGGCCAGTGAAACAAGGAATCACCATTCAGCTGAACCCACTGTTCTTGCAGAAAATGCAGAATTAGTGCCAATAAATTCTTAATGTGCTTAAGAACACTGAAGTTAATTGGTTTATGATTTTTTTTTTCTAAAGACAACAGTTAAATAGAATGAAGATCACTTATTTTTTATTATTATTTAAAGCATCACTGCATTTTATTTAGCATTTGAGGATTTTAAGAACTTAGGTTTTTCTTTAATATTAAAAATACCTCTTTTTAATGATATTCCAAATATTATTTTCAAGAGTCTGCTTTGTTTTCTGATGTTGTATTTAGAATAAAGAAAGAAGTTAGTTGCCCAGGGCAACAGCTGCAGTGTACATGTGTATAGTGGGAAAGGGGAAGAACAAATGCTTTATAAGTACTGTTTTAACATTTTAAATAACTTTTTGTATGAGGACTTTTAAAACTCATGTGAGCTGGAAGAAGAATCTGATAATCTTAGGAAGCAGAAGATAGACTCCTTTCAAAGGTTCAATCTCAATATTGAAATTTTTGGCACTTTAGAAAACTACTTTTTAGGTAGGCAGGATTTTGATTTGATTTCTTTCAATGAGATCATACTGACAGTGTGAGTGAAACTTAACAGCTAAATGTTCTAGTTGGGTTTTTTTTTGTTTGGGGAGCTTTTTGTATTTTTTTATAAAAAATACAAAAAAGCCTTAAAAATCTTCACCCTGTATCTGTTGGAAGACCCATGGTATAGCTATGCATGGAGTTGAGGTCCTGTACTATACTTTCTCTAGAGGTTTTATCCTGTCAGAATTGGGGTGAGACTATTTAGGCTCAAATTTGTAAAACTATTTTGTCATTTTGTCCTGTAGAACAGCACCAGGTGAAACTTCTGAAAGCAGTCTTGAGTATTAAATAGTATTATAGAAGTTCATAAAAACAGCTTTGGCACTTCTAGCACTGCAGCAAATGCCTGATTCCTTGGAGGTCCAAACTGCTTTTAAAATCTCTCTCCTGACACTTCAGAGGAGAAACTGCATTCACCACAGGGTTAGTCCTTTAAAACAGCACTGGTGGTGCCATCATCTGGGGAGGGGGCCCTGGGGAGTTTAATCAGGATGTAAACAACTTCTATCCATTCTTCCAACACTGGGAAAACCAGAAGGTTATATGAATGAAAAGGACAATTTGAATTACAAGCAGATTAGTTTTAAGGTTCCAGTGTGGTCAGAGTAAGAGAAACCGCTTCCCCCTAAATACAAATACAATTTGCATCTTTAGAAGATATTTTGGTCTGGTAATTAGGCTAAGTTTTTACATGTTACAAAGGATTATTAGCTGTTGAAGGCTTTCAGAAATTCTTTCCTGTGGTTTGCAGCAAGTTGGCAAAATCTTACTTTTTACTATCTTTAGTAAGCTTAACAAATTCAGTTGTTGGAAGTAATAGCAACAAAGTATTCTCCAAAAGTAATGGTCCAGATCTGTCATTGAATATTTTAGGTGGATTACACTGCTACAAGTGTCAGAAACAGCACATAAATGTGAGGTTTCAGGGAGCAATGAAGTTCAGTAACTTCTTTTGAATTCCTTCTCTTTGCTATCATGTTTCGGGGAATATACTAAGATGTAAATATTCATTTAAATGCATGCAGTATATTAGTGCTGTAGGAATTCATGATCGTTTTTGCTTCATAGTTTGCTCTGATATTTGCAACCTAAGTACTATATCATTGTGCTGGTACATGAGAGTAGAACTGATACTATGAAATTGCAGAATGACAAACGAGGTTAAAAGTTTTGATTGTGTCCAACAAAAAAATTGGCTTAAGCAGTCTTAATGTTAGATAATATACAGTACCTTATTTTTTTACCTCAAAATCTTCAGTGTATACTTGATTGCTTTATTAAAATTTTCCTCTAGCATCCAACGTCCATAAGGACGGGGAATCTCCCCAGACAATAAAATAAGAGCTTGACTTGTGTAGAGGAACCTGTAGAATGAGTCTATTAACCATCATACATGAAAAAAATAAACTAGATAAATGTTACTTAAAAAAAAAATACCATTTCAATCATGAGTTAGCAATATGTGTGCTACTTGTTTGCTGACTTATTTTGGTATTCTCTCACAGATCAAAACCATCTTTATTTTTGAAATCAGCTGTAGTTCAGCTGAAACATTAGGTTGATGATTGATTCATTAGCTGCTGAATATTGTTTCATTTTGTTAGCTACACATGATAATGTCTCATCAAGAAAGTTTGCCAAATTTGTGTCCAGATTGTCTTGGATACTCTTTGAAATATTTTTGTTTTCACTTATTCAGCTGCATTCTGTGAGGTAAAAAGCTGTGGCCTGATGCTGTAGTTGCCACGTACAGAACTGCATCATATTGTGGGTACAGGAGCAACACATTTGTGAGATCAGCAGCTCTGATTTGTAAAGTCCATCAACCCCTGTGTTGCTCCTACAGTTTGAAGACAGGCTGGAGTCATAGAATGTATGTTTTGGAATACTTACCACATTTCCCAAATATTTATTTCAAAGGCAGCCCACTGAGGGTCGATCCCGTGATGGTGGTTTACGTCTTGGAGAGATGGAACGGGATTGCTTGATAGGTTATGGAGCCAGCATGCTTTTATTGGAGAGACTGATGATTTCAAGTGATGCCTTCGAAGTGGATGTTTGTGGGCAGTGTGGCTTGCTGGGATACTCTGGATGGTAAGTTGTCAAGTGCCTCTGTAACAGAACTGCCCTTGGTTACAGTGCTTCTAGTTTTCAAGAGCTGACAGGCATCAATTAACAGTCCCATGCACTTCAATCAAAAAGTTAAAAATTGGTATTTGGAAAAATGGTGACAGGGGATGGTTCTTTATTGTGGTCTGATTGAAGTTAGGACTGAATTGAGTATGTAGTCAATGAGCCAGGGATCTCTCCTGTTGTGGGGGCAGAGGTGTTCTCTCCCACAGCCAGGCTGCTCCCTTCATTCTGTCTGCTGACCTTCCATCCCATCCTTCCAAGGAATTATCAAGCACCCAATCCCAGATATTGTCTGTATTTTGAAAGGGGAGAACAGCAGTGTCAACGTACTTGGTGCTTCTGCCAGCAGAAATGAGGATACTGGCTGGGCTAGTCACACGTACTCCTGCTACAATCCCATGTTGACCCTCACAAGGCTGAAGAGTGAAAGTGGGTACAGAAGAATAGGAGAAGAAAGCAATATCCACTGCTTTCTTTTCTCTAGCTATGGGGCTCATAATCCCATGCATTTGGTTTTCTTTGACTGTGCCCCTCTGTGCTGGTCTTACCTTTGAAAGGCATTTTGCCTAATTTATTTTTTTTTTCTTTTGCTTTGTGGTGTTGTAAAACAAGGAGTTCCTCCTAAAAGCATTAGGCAAATGCACTGATCCCATGTTGGAGCTTTAGAGACAAGCAGCTGTCTGTGTGGAAATTCAGCTGGCTTCTGCCTGAATGCCTTGTCCCTAGGAAACTTCCCTCTAGACTGGCTAATGGTCTTGCTGTCTTACTCTGAGACCAGACTCTGAAACAGTACTGACTTGGTCTCCAGAAAACAAACTGGTTTTTCATGTAGGGGAAGCATAAAACTGGATGTCAAAGTTGTATGGAGCTCACCACGTGTAACACACTGGGTTTTCTCTCCAGTTTTGAGATGTTAGATTTAAATTTGTCCCGTAGCATGCTGAAAATGCACCACTATTATTAGAAGATAAACAAACTTCTGTTTATAGAAGGGACTATAGATAGTCTTAGAGGCGAGGGAGATGTTTTGCTTTGACCTGGCAAGCAGAAAAGAGACATGTGAAACCAACAGGAATTTTAGATACAAGGTTATTGCAAGCTTTCCAAAAAACAGGTGACCTGAAATCCCATGACTAAGGGAAGAAAAAATAAATGGTGCACGTTCAAATTACAATTTACTCTAATATTTATATTGGGGAAAGATGGAGAGTTAAAAGGAGGAGGAGAAAGATTAATTTCTAAACCTCAAAAGACCACAGTTGGAAACTTACTGCATCTTGGATATCAGCATCAATCTATTGGGAGAGGCAGGAAATTGGACTTTATTCACTTCAGTACCTCAAGGCTGATTTTTCCATGATACACTGAAGTAGGAAGGTATATTCTCAGTTTGTTGATGTGTAAAGGTGACAGCTACTGTTTTTGCCCCTGGTCAAACCTTTCTTCTGAAGTCTTTCTGGCCAGAAACCAAGCACCACCTTTGTTTGCTCACAGCAGCAGCAGCTCTGCTCCTGGGGGAGCAGATGTTCGGACAGAGGTGGGTAAACACATGTAATCCAGAGGAGAGATGAGCCCCTCTCTGAGCATCCTGCTGTGATTGGTGATTTTCAGCTGGACATGGTCCTGCTGGCTCTTGTGCCATAACTCTTTTTGAGACTCTTTTTTTCTTGAGGGTGTGTTCAGTGTATGTAAGAAGGGAAGCTTTTTTCTGACCCAGGTCTTAAAACTACTGCAGTGCAAATAACAATCGTAGGAAGTAGTGTGAAAGGAAGGACATGCCGTAAGTCAAAGAACCAACCACTTCTAACTGTGTAAAGCACTGCCTTTAAAAAAACCTCACATGCAGATGTAGCTCAATTATATTTTCAATAAGACCATGACTTTCAGAGCAGTCCTTTAAGATTTTTCAGAATCCACAGGAAGTAAAAGGACCTTGAAGAAAATCAGGAATTTGAACTTCAGAAGTAATACTACATTTTATTTTTAAGGTGTTGCTAATATGTTTCATTTTTTGAAGTTCCTAGCAAAGTTTAGTAACTCCTTAAATAATTGTGAAAGAAACTACTGTCTCAGACAGAGCCAGACATTCTTGCAATCTGATTCTGTGAAAAGCTGTCTGATGTGTGAGAGTAATCAATAAGAGAGCTTCTACTAAATTTTATACTGAGTCTACCAGTATCTGAAGTAAGTGGCCCTATAATGAGCATCACAGTAGAGAGAAGTCATTAAGAGAAACTTCCAAATGGGCCTTTTCAGTGACTCAGGCATTAATAAGACATTGCTGCAAGAAACCTTTTAGAAACATTGTTTGTGGCTAGCATTAAGGGCACTTGTCTTATGGAAGATGAGCCCTTCCTCTCAGGCAAGGACTAGCCCCCTGGGTACGTTTTCTGTAAGATAGTAACAGCAGATCAGTGTTGGGCCTGAACTGGTATTTTCACAGGGGAAAGGGGCTCCTGTGGCAGTGACGGAATTTGTCCCTGTAAAAAATTTGGCTGAAACTTACTATGATTTACTGGGTTTATGCAGATTTTCAAACTTAGCTGTTGCACAGGTGCTTAGGAACAGAACACCACTGAATGTAATGAGCAAAGTTTGGTCCTTTTTTGACCATAAGTTGAGTTAGTCTGGTCTCTCTAGCCTTTCAAAATATACATGAAGAAAAATTTTGTTTCTGGTCCATTGATTCAGCCTTGGATGGTAAAAGTTGCCTTTTTTCTGACCTGTTTAATGTCAATTCTAATACCAAATGGTCTTTCAAGTATTTGTTTCTGTGACCTCTGTGTGATGCAGTTTTGTGCTTACTGCACCTTTCTGGGTGGTCCCCCTCAAGTACAAAGCAGGCCCAGAATGGTGTAGCTTTGAGCCTGGGTGCAGTGAGTTGTCTCTGCTCCTCAGTCCCTAGGAGATGTAATCAGATGCCAGACATGTGCTCACAGCAGAGAAGTTGTGTCTCATCAGGCTTCCAGGGTCTGCAAGGAATTCTGTCTCTCCTATTGAGAGCAATTGCTTGCTTGCCATCACTGGAGAACAACTCCCATTTAGGTCACTTCCTCCCACCATAAAATGTACCTATCCCTATAAATGCTGACTAGGGGAGTAGTTATAAACCTGCAATTGACTGTGAGCCTCATTCTGTACCACAGAAGCCTTCAGTTTTGCTAATTCTTCCTTAATTGGATCTTCAGACCGTTATGACTTTATGCCAGAAATATAAATTTGAAACACAGGAACAAAAAAAGGAGCTTTGTTAGACCATTATGAAGTGCTTAGTCACTCTGTGTTCCCAAAGGAGTGGCTTTCTCAACTCTCCAAAAACAGAAAGTGGAATATGCAGGAGAATGAAGAAATAGGGAGGTTGGAAATGGATATTTATTAGAAGTATTTTCTACCACCACTGAATTTGAGTCCCAATACTGCAAAGATGGCTGATTAGCCTATTATATATTATATAGTCAAGGCTATATCTATATGACAAAAAATCAATTTCCCTCTGAATTTTAAGATCATTAGAGCAAAGAGCACAAAGAATATGTGTTTAAAGCAGTTTTACTGAATTTCTATGCTGACTAATATTTAAAGATGTAAGATGAGAAGTGCCTCTTTTCTGGAAAGTGTAATGATTTGAGACATTACAGGGTGAAATTGCATATAAAAAACTTTCTTTCTTCCTGACTCTTCTTTTTGTGACATACATATAACACAGAAATTGGACCATTAACCATTTTTTCAGAAACACTTAGCTGTGTTCACCTCTTTTCTGTCACTATGCAGTGCTGAATTTGTTGACACTGTGAGTGCTGAAAAAGCAAAAGTTGGTTCTGTTAGCTCCTGAGCATTGTGATTGCCCTCCTACAAAAGTGCAGATTTAACATTAGGCTCCTATTGATTTCAGTCAGATTATTTAAAGACTTAAAGCTATGACTTAAGCACTTAAATGTGTCTGAAGCATTTGGTGCTTCTAGGACTGTGGCCAATGTTTAAATGCAGATGGACAAAACAACAGTGGCTAGTGGCAATTGGGTTTTTTCAGCAGAAGTTATGGACCAACTCTAACTTTCTTTTTGTTTGTTTCCCTAGGTGCCACTACTGCAAATCATCATGTCACGTGTCTTCTCTGCGCATACCTTACGCCTGTAAACTCCTATTCCAAGAACTGCAGTCCATGAACATCATACCTAGGCTAAAACTAGCTAAGTACAACGAATGAACAAGATTAAAAAGACCCAAAAAAAGTACCTTAAAGAATTTAAATCCAGCATATCTAACTCAGAGTTTTTTTGGTGGACAGGAATAAACTCTAAAACTGGAGTGAGGGGAGGTGCAAGACAGTAGGAAATTTTTCTTACACATCCTCCTTGTTTTTAAGCTGACATGGAAGAGTGTCAGTGAAACACACTAGGAGCAGTTGTGAAGCCTTGATTAGTCATGAAAGGGACACCTGGGAATTGTGGAATAAGGCCTTGGTCCAGCAAAGCACTTGGATTACTTCAAAAAATCCCATGCTTGCGTTTGAAAAGGTCTTTGCTGGACTAGGTGTTAAGCAGAGCTAAATATACATCTTATTCATAGAGGTTAAAAATGTTTTCCAAACCATTATAATAAATGTTTTAAGTAATACTGGCTGAATGTTGATAATTGTGTAAGGATGGTAAGGCCTTATAATGTCTAAACCATTTTCTGTTCCTAAAGCAGTTTGCTAAAGCATTAAAGTTTTCTAAAGAAGTGTCAGTGTTAGAGAAAGGAAACTTCTTTCTCAAGAGCTTGAGATCAGACACTTTGAGTGCAATTTCAGCATGCAGATGCATTTGTGTGCCAGTGATGGTGTGCTTGTACGGGTAATATGCTCTCAACCGAATGTACGCAGTTTCCATGAAGTTCAGGGGAGGAGGTGACAGCATATGTAGCAAATGCATGATACAGCACACAGATACCCATTCCATTCCTACTGAGGGTAGTAGGTCTGATAATACACTGGCTCAAAGTCCTGAAAAGACAGGCTGCAAACACTAGGTAGTGATCATTACCTGGTGTGTTGTCAAAGGGCTCTAGAACGTTTTTAAAATATGAAGACAGACAAAACATTTTAAGAACAAAACAAAACCAAGCCTATGAAGAACAAATCCTTCACTGACAGTGAAGCAGGTTTGAGTAACCTGAAAGGATTTAGAAAGGGAACAGCTGGATTTTTTTCATGAAGTCTTAAGGCTAGAATTAAAGCAGTGGATGAACTAAGAATAATTTAGTTCCCTAAACTAATGAGCCCTTACTCAGCAAAATGTGCAGTTAACTTTTTAAGCAGAGGACATTGACGTGTACAGACTTCATCTGTCCTTCAGTGAAAAGCAGCACTCTGGGTCAGCAAGGATACAGAACATTGCCTATGATGTAAAAGTCTTGAGATGCTCTTCTCATACAACTTTGTGTGCTGATCCTGACAATCCTGACACTGCTCATGCAGTCATGTTGTTGCTGTTCTCTTAGCTTTGAGCACAGATGAGTATCAGCCTGAGTAGATTTCTTTTTAGCCTTCCACAACTCAGGGTTATTTACAAAAGAGTTTTAAGAGAGTGAGAGAGTGACATCCTCCACACTGGAGGAGGAGGTTAAGCAAAAGCCTCAACCAAATGAACATCCTCTGCTTTGGTGCCTGAGAAGGCCCAGCTGCGGCTCGGGAGCACCAGCAGAGGGAGTGAGCCTCTAAGGCTACGGCTGCTGGGGGGCACCACGGGAACCCGCTGAGGGTAAGGGTCCTTGCTCCCTAGTCCTCTCCCAGCTGGTCTCCTAGGTTGGGTGGTCAGAGGACATGAAAGACTAAGCAATGTGTAAGTTGCACACATGGAAATTGAAGCATTACAGCAGAGATGGAGGAGGAACAAAGAAAGTGCTCATGAGTAACCTCATTGAGAGAAAAGGTCTGTGTGCAGCCCTAAGGAGCAACCTTGCAGCTTGTTCACCTCAAGCTGATGAAAGCATGGAGATGAATGGGTTTTTGAGGTTGAAAGATATCCTGTAATAGCTGAGCTTAAGGAAGAAAAGAACAGCCTTAAGAATGATGGATACTGTAAAGCATAGAAACTAGATGTGTCTGGAAGTGAGAGTCACCCACTATCAGCTACTGTGGTGATACCTACATCAGCTGCATTTACACATCACTGCTGCCTGACCTAAGCCTGCGCCTACACTGGAGGCTTATTTGAGTGCAGATCTGGGTTAAAACTCTGATGCTTACTTCTTACATTTCCCTAAGAGGCTGCTTATGTTCCATCATAATTGACACCTGCAAGTAATCTCTTGGGAATGGAATAAGCATTACAGAACCAGCAGCAGAAACAGAGCAAATGGCTATGGATTCCTGGAATATGGTTGATCAAAGTGGCAATTCATGGAAGAATCTTACTGCAGTCAGGAAAAAATTGTTCTGCATGGACTGATGAGGTAAAATACAGAACCCCAGAGCTGTCAGATTACTTTCCTCTGGTGAGCCTCATCCTTGCAGCCATTTGAATTATCTTCCCAGACAACCTTCCCTCCCCCCTTTTTATACTATGAATGCCTTCAGAAAGAAGGTCTTATGTCAGCTCATGGCTGTACTGCTGGAGCTGGTCTTGCCTAGATCAACCCTCCCATAACTGTCTAACTGCTGAATTAGATACCATGTTCTGAACAACAGCTGACAAAATCTGAAGGCTTTAGTGCTAGAAGCTGTGGCTAGAGAACTGCCATAAGGTCTTCATTCCAGTGCAACTTCTTTATTCCTTGTATGGCCAGGAGAAGCTTTCTAGAATTGCTGTTTTGCTGGAAGATCTTGAGCATCAGTCCCAGCTGAAATGCCAAATGCAATCCATTTTCTGATAGGAGCTAGAGGTGTGTGCTGCTGTTGGAAAAGATACTTAACTCCATGTAGTATAAGCTGCCACTCTTTGCAGATAAAAGGTTAAATGCTATCCTAGTGAATACTGGATATGTCCAGCCCTGCTGTTTGGTTGTGAGAAACAGAATGAAGCCAGGGCTGAGCTACAGAATGCTATGAGGCAAGGCACAGGGCTTCTGGCCAGTTCTGGAGCTGAGAGCGACACAGGTCACTAGTTTAGAGTTCAGAAAAACAGCTTCAAATCATTTACATAACCCTTACAGGTATTTAACTTCTTTTTTTGAAAAAAGGTAAATTTATCTAAACATAGAAATAAGAAAAAAAAAAAACTATAAAGAAAAATGAAACCAGACTGGCCAATTTTGGCATTCAAAGAGGATATATTATGAAATAAAGGCATACTGAGATGCAATAATTTTAAGATGAAAGTAAAGGAAGGGCTCCCACTAAGCACAATTGGTTTTGTTTGTAATGCCCATATCTCATTAAGAGTTTTCCTTACAAAGAAGCTTCAATGTGTAGCAAAAAGAACTTTTTACTTTGTTGGACTCCTTATTTCTTGCTTAAAAAGGGAGGAAAACAAATGAAAAACATAGACTCATGATGATGAGAAATTACCGTGTCTTTTCTCATGTTTTCTAATGGTAAATAAAATAAGTATCTATGGTTTATAGCAAAATGGGAGTACGTCATAATTAAAAACCTATAAAGACTGAAGAATATTTCAATGGTTGGTGGTAACAAATGGCAAACTAATGAAAAATGCTGACAATGCATTTGCAAGCCCTGCAAAGGACCACCTGTAAAGCCTGACAGTAACTGGTGTCACACAGCTGCAAAACTAGAGGGGCTAAAAATGCATCTGTAGTTTGCCCCAAGGCTCTTGAGGATGAGGATGGCCCTAGTGAGAGGGAGCCTAAGCCTTGGGCTTGCAGCCCTCCCACAGTGACCCACAGGAGCCCTCCTCAGCTGTGTCTCAGCACAAGCACCTCTGGAGCTGTGGCAGAGAGCTGGCTTAGCGCTGCTGAAGCCCCTCCAGCCGGCCTCTCCTCCCGTTGGAGCTGCGGATTGTTTTACAGCCCTTTGCCATTTCAGCAGGGCCGTGGGGCACTTGATGAATTCCCTCCTCTGAAGAGGACGTGACTTGCCCAGGGCCACAGAAAGACTGTGCCAGAACTGGGATCAGGGCTCCACAGTCCCCAGGTGCCAGACACGTGCTTGCCTTAAAACTGAGCACTTCATCAAACCGTAAAATCCAGCCAGATGGTGACTCTTTGCTATTATCTGGACCAGTGCTGGGAGGCTTAACGTGTGCAAGGCACGGTGAGGATCCGGATTCCAGTTTCTGTGTCTAAGGCTCAGAAGCCCAGAAATGGGTCCATGTTTTAGACCTAAATTCTGCTAGAAACTTGAGCATATTTGAACCAAGATCTGACTTCAGTCCATCCTTGTCATGAAATATTTCCATCTCAGCATGGGCCCACCAATTTCAGTGGAGGAGTTCTTTCTTTGGGAAGGAGTAGAAAGGTGCAAGAGTAAGGACAGGTACTTCTGTCAATCTTACTCTGCCCTGATTATGTAGCCACAGTCAGACTGTGCTTTCAGGTAGCTAAGACTGCGTGAATTTGCCTTTCTGCACTCATTTAAGAGCTGTTAAGGATATGAACCTAGGAGTTCAAATACAGTCCCTCTGCCTTCCTTACATGTGAACATAGATCCTAAAACAATGGAACTCATTTAAACTCTCCAAACCCAGGTCAGAGCTAATAGAAATTTTGAAGTTGGCTTTTTTTAAAAAAAAAAAAAGTCTATATGGCTTTATTCTCTTTCTGTCTCAAAATCAGCAGCAAAGATTTTTGTTCTCTACCCAGAACATGGTCTTAGGCCTTTTTCCATCTTCCAAGGTCATGAGCTGCCCATTGCTCTTTGCATCTTGCTGCTGGAAAAAAAAACAAACAAACCATCAACTGTGTATTTCTCCTAACTGCACTTACTCCTTTATTTGTGTGGTTCCTGGGGCAGGTAACTGAGGTGATTCCAGTGACCATGTATTTTTTCCAATAACTTTGTTGTGCGTGTCCTTCTCCCCTCCTCCCAGTCAGTATATAAACAGCATGTTAGATCCAAATCAAAAGCAATTCCCTGCTGCTAACTGCAGCAGAGCCTTTGTCTTCCAGTAGCCCGAGTTTTGGGGAGCTCCTTGACCTATGCATATGCTTTACCATTCCAGACAGTGCATGGTAGTTATAGTCTACTTGACAATAAAACATTATAAACTGAGAAATAGCTCAAGAACAAAGAAAAAAATTGGTGTCCTTAACAGCAAAGTTCTAATTTCTTGCTAAAATTATATTCTAATAATGGAAACCGTTTTCCCTTGAACTCCTGGTGAATTGGTAAATTTAAACTCTGCATTCAAGCCTCCCCCTGCCAGTCAGAGGCAGGCACTGAAGGTAATTCTCTGTGCTCCAGGCAGATCAAAAGAAGCTCATTATCAGTCGATCATCTAAAAGGATATGACAGCTTCACATCCAGTTGTTCAGCAGCTGAGATGCAGTCTGGAATGGATCTTTTCTGTGTCTGTTGTCTATAATAGCTTTTAGGGCTGGCTCTTCTTCCAACACACAGTACAAATCCTCTGGTAACTAGTACCAGCCACACACAACAAAAGCCAGCTAAATCTGGTGTAAGCTCGGAAATCGATGACTGCTTGCCCTTTTCTCAAACTCAAGTCAGCAAGTGTCTCCCAGGCTGAGTGTTCTGGGCAGCAGCCCTGGCTGCAGTGGTTCTTCTCAACTCCTATGGATGCTGATACTACCCAGGAGAGTGAATTCCTTCCTCCTTGCAGACTGACCAG